AAAGAATTAGTAGCTAATTTCTTTTTTTTTTTTTTTTGGCGGTTGTCCAGTACAGGGACCCAAACCCTTGACCTTGGTGTTACAACACCACTCCCTAACTAACTGAGCTAACCAACCAGCCCATAATTTCAATATTACTCATAATAGAGAATTGACATTACCTTAATAAGAGGGAACTAAGGGAACTATATAAAAATATAAGATTAAAGGTAATTATTGAGAAATAAATGTACACTTTCTGATAGGAAAAAATACTTGAGAGTATTTTTTGAGGGGGGAAAGGATACAGTGAGTTTAAGCAACTCAAGAAATTTTGTATAAAGGTTAACAGAATAATGGGGGTCACGTATGGGGTGGTTAACTTTTTAATGCAAGTATAACATTGCACTAGTCCATTTTGTTTGCTTATAGTTTCTCAGGCTGGGGAGTCCAAAGTCCGTCTGGTGATGGGGACAGTGACCCAGGGGTCTCACATTGCAAGATGGTGGAAGCAGAGAGAGCAGAGAGAGAGACAGACTCTCCTCTTTTAAAGCCCTGAGAACCACGCCCCTGACCACCATTTCTAATCCGTTCACTACGGCGTGGTCCTACAATCCAATCACCTCTTCAAGGCTCCACCTTCCAATTATAATAGGATTTCCCACCCTCTTAACAGTCACAGTGGGGGCTACGTTTCTAATACATAAAACTTGGGGGACACAATTCAAGCTTCAGGGAGTTTTGGGGGGACACAATTCAAGCTTCAGGGAGTTTTGGGGGGACACAATTCAACTGCAAACATGCGTGCACTAAAGTGCACAGATCACAGTATACAGCTTCATGATTTTTCACAAGGTGAACACGATGCATGAGCAACACCCAGTTGAAGAACGGGTAGGGTTTTAGGGGCAGCAACAGCATAGAGCTGTACTGATGGGAATGAACCCAGTGAAGAGGGAAGAAAATGATGGTGCTGGGAAGAGGAGAGGACAATTGCTAGAGAAAGGTCTTGGGGGTAAGAGGGGATGCGATCCAGGGCGTGAGCGAAGGGAGAGGTAGGCCTGGCATGCATGGCCGCAGATGCAGGGAGGCACACAGGTGGGTGGATGCCATGGAAGGTCTCTTGGATTGCATCTCCTGCTGCTTGCTCAGTCATGTGGAAGCAGGAAGTGCAGTTCGGGAGGAAGTGAGGGTGGACAGGTGGTTTGGGAGGTTTGTGCAGGACAAACATGTGAAGGGGTTACCAAGAAGGGGAAGGAACTAGACTAGGAAAATATAGGATTCCAGTCAGCACCAAGTGCCTACCTGAGGCCAGCAAGCCTGAATGTAAGGGGTAACCCAACCTGTGCCTCAGCAGAAAGCAACCTTGGCCCTGCCAGCTCAGCTCTGAGCATGCCATCTCACCAGGAGTATGTGTCTGTCACACAGGGCACATCCTGCAGTCTGTCTCCTTTCCTAGCACTGAGATTTTTGTTTCTCTAAGTTGCTCCATGGCTTTTGAGTCTGTATGTATCCTGGTTTCTCTTGGGGAAACTCAGGTGCAAAGCAGAATCTCTGCAGACAGGGCCCTATTGGTCTGCACTGGGGTTGTGCCCACTGGATTCAGGCAGCTTGTTATAAAAATTTATTTATGTCAGGCCGGCCTGGTGGTGCACTTGGTAGAGTGCGGCGCTTGGGAGTGCAGCAGCACTCCCGCCGAGGGTTCGGATCCCATATAGAGACCGGTCTGCTCACTGGTTGAGCGCGGTGCGGGCGCAACACCAAGGGTTGCGATCCCGTTGCCGGTCGCGGTGTGGGCGCGACACTGAGGGTTGCGATCCCGTTACCGGTCACGAAAAAAGACAAAAAAGGAAAAAAAAAATTTATTAATGTGTACCCAAAATATATTAGCAAAACACCAGCTGGGGTGGTGGCGTGAACTGTGGGTGTGAACCTAGCAGAGTTACTTCTTTCTTTTTTCTTTTTTTATTAAAAACAGCTTTATTGACGTAAAATTGACACACTGTACATATTTAAAGAGCATAACTTGATAAGTTTTAACATGTATATACCACCTGTAAAACCATCAACACAGTCAAGGTCAAGTTTAATGATCATAGAGAATTTGAAATGTTTTGGGAAGATCCGGCACCCCCACCCCTGCCCCTGGGTGGAGTGGGCACAGGATGAGAGCTGACAGGAGGGTGCAAGGAGCAGAAAACCCAATCCAGGCTGGAGCCCACCAAAGAGGAGTTTACTGACCCACAAAGCTGGGAAGAGCAGACAGTGAGCCCACCTGTCATTGAGCTGGGCTCTGTGCACTGGACTTAGTTTGTGCCAGGACAGCATCATTCTCAGGCCCCATGTGGTGCCAGGATGGTGGCAGCAGCCTTTGTATCCTCCCTGGATCACCCCAACATTTCTTCCAGATGCACCACAACATTTTCTTGGTGGCAACTGGGTGACACAGTAGCCCCGAACCCACCCCTGAGCCCAGAACAACATTAAGGGAGCCATCACCTTGGGCCTCAATGGAGCCCATGAAGCATGGGGCCCAAAAGCTAGAGGGACGTGCCCCAGATAAAGACAGGGAGCTGCTCCTGGCAGAAGGGGAAGTGGTCAGTGGCCACTTGAGAGCGGTATTGTTCCTGCTGGTGGATGCTCTGGGAGGGAGCTGAGGGAAGAGCAGACAGACATGGGTGCTGGCTCTGGACCACCTGACCACATGGGCTAGAGGATGAAGCGCTCCCTGCACAGGCCATTCCCGTGGGTGGAGAGGTCACCTGGAAGTCAGGTGCCTGCAGCCAGAACACAGTCAGCCTCCCACACACTGTGCCTGACTTGTCACAGAATCTGGTGCTTCTGTGAGAAGATGGGTTTGAGTTCTGACATAAGACCTCCCTGGGTGGGGTCAGGGTCTCCATATCCTTCTCCATTGTGGGGGACTAGGAACTTACCATCTGTCCCTGTTGGCAGGGCAAGGACTGCAGGCAGGGGCTCCAGAAAGTCAGGGGGAGGATCCTGGAGGTGAGGGCTTCCTTGCAGACCTTTGTCCCTAATGCTCCCCTCTTCTGTTTTTCTGCCAGCCCCATATTGCCCACCTGGATGCCCTCCCCAAACTACCCCAGGGTCTGTTTCTCCTACCCTTGGACTATGTGCAACAGGAAAGCAGATTCCCAGGCTCCTCTACTAGGGAGGGGCCTACAGCCATACCGGTGGGTGCTGCATGCATGTAGGAGCACATGCCCCCTCCTCTAATGCAGGGCCCTGTGTATGGTTAGACCTTGTGGGGGAAAGCAGCTCACAAGCAGAGATGCCAAGCACAGGTGGGGGACTCCCTTCCCCACACATGCAGTTCTAGGTCTGCATCTTTCTTATCACTGCCCAAAGCCACAGCAAACTGCTAGGGAGAGACCAGTCTTAACTTGTCACAAGTGTCTAGAGCAGAGAGGTGGTGTGCCTACTGCAGGCCACACCAGTCATACCAGGCACGGGGGCCAGCGGGAGAAAGATGGAAAGCTCAGGAATTTCTACTGCTTAGAAGCAGTGGCCAGTGTGAGGAGGGTCTCAAAAACCCTTCTCTTGCTGAGGGGTCCTTGAGAGTACAGGGGATGTTGGGCATGAGGGAGAGAGGACAGGAAAGGACTACTTCCCTCACTCAGCAGACAGTTGTTGAGGGTGGACCTGTCCAGGCCTGGCAGGCACCTGCAGGAGAGGTTGCATCAGTCGGGACTCTGAAAGAGCAGGCTGTACTGGACGGGTGCAGTCAGACTCAGGACTGCACCTGTGATCAGAACTTGATGTCACCCTGCCTCTGCTCCACTTTCCCCTGTGGGTCTCAGTTCTTGGGCTCTGTGGGCCTGCTTGTGTGCTGTCTCCCAGCAGTCCCAATGGGTATGGCTCAGTGTCCACACCTGAGCTGGTTACTATGGCCAGGGTACATGGTGTTCAGATGGGCCAAGTCTGAGCCCTGGTCACCCCCAGTGCCAGTGGGGTTGGCACTACTATAGTACCAGACCTGAGGACAATCAGAGGGTGGTGGGCACAGGGTGAGTACCAACAGCAGCTGTCCTCTACAGAGCTTTCACAGGATCTGTGCACCCCAAAGGCTAGAACAGGGAAAGTGCCCAGGGAGCAGGGAGCAGACCACAGTATGATGGATCTGAGCTGCCCAGCACTGACAACCACACCCCACAGGGAACTGTTAAAAGAACCTGTAGGCTGGCCAGTTGGCTCAGTTGGTTAGAGTGCAGTGTTGATAATACCAAGGTCAAGGGTTCAGATCCCCATACTGGCCAGCTGCCAAAAAAAAAAAAGGAAAGAAAATTTTTTTAAGAGAGAAGCTGTAGACAAATTTATGAGAGTTTAGGAGCAAAGAATAATTCATGACTTGGGCAGCACTCAGAGTCAGAAGAGGTTCAGAGAGCTCTACCCAGCAGCAAGCGTTTATAGTCTGAATAGGGAAACAGAGTAGAGGACTCACCTGACTGGCTACAGCTAGGTGTCTGCCTTATTTGGGCAAGGTCTGATCAGTTGGCTGCCTGTGACTGGCTAAAGCTCAGCTGTTTGTGATTGGCTGAAACCCAGCTACTCCTTACGAGAGATACTGGTAAGATTACGTGGGAACTCAAAGGATGGAGACAGCCTCAGGCTGATGGCCTCCTGCTTAGTTAATTTAATAGGACGCATGAGTTCAGGAAGAGGCCAGGGAGCACCAGGGGCTGTTTCCTCAGCAGGTTTCTCCTCTCCTTTGCTCTGGCCTCACTGAGAGATGACCCCAGAACTCATTTCCCCCATGAGACACTTTGACTCAGCAGTGTAGGTGGGTTTGGTTACAGGGAGGACAAGCGTAGGTGTCCATGTAGCCACAGAGGAAGCCACAGCCTCCTGCACAGCCAAACCAGGTTCTTCTTTCCATGTGCACTGCCCACCCCCCACAACCCTTCCCTCATTTGTCCAACTCTGTGGATTGACATGCACATCAGAGGCCTGGTCAGCAGCTCTGTTGTTAGGTGCTTTCCCCTCCCTGTTTTATTTTCTAGTCTTCCCCAGCTCCTCAGGAGGTGTTGGAACAGCCCACCAGCCCGTCCTCTCCCCTCAGCAGCCACCAGAGCTTCTGTGCACAGGAAGTACCAACCGCTTCTCAGGGCCTGCTCAAACTCTTCCAGAGAGACCCATCCATGGAGGATCTCGGAGCAAAGGGGGTAAGCGTCAGCGCTGGCACTTCAGCCTCTGGTTTGTGCCTCCATGGCTGGCTCAGTCCCTCGTGCCTCCTTGGGATGACTGAAGACCAGTGTGACATGGACCACGCGGTCTCTGGGGATAACCCCCCATCTGCCCAGTGGGTGCTCTTCACCATGGGGCTCTAGGCCTCTGAAGGGAAGGGCTCACCTGCTGCTGAGTAGCTCATCTTCCTGACGCCTTAGCCCAGCCTGGGCTTTCCTGCGTCTTTACCAGTAATCATTCTGAAATCTAAGCTTGCTGGCCATCTCCTTCTAGATAATTTACATAGCAGGCTTTCAATGTGGCTCAGAGAAGAAGAGGAGGAGGGCTTTGTCACCTAGGCCTCAGCACTCAGAGACATGCTTCAACCCCCAAATTCCCTGGTTTGCTTTTCTCTCAGGCCAAGGAGAAGATGAAAGAGGAGTCATGGAACATCCACTTCTTCGAGTACGGACGTGGCATGTGCATGTACCGCACAGCCAAAACCCGGGAGCTGGTCCTGAAGGGCATCCCTGAGAGCCTCCGAGGAGAGCTGTGGCTTCTCTTCTCTGGTGAGTGCAGTCCAGCTGCCCCCAGCCTTGGCATGGACAGTCACAGCCTCCAGAACTCTCCTCGTGTGAGCTCGTCTGGGCTTCAGGCCAGCCTCCCGAGGTGGGCCAGGCTGGAGGGCAGTCAGGCTCTCAGCTATGTGCAGGGGCCCAAGCCAGGAGGAGCATCCTGAGGAGCAGATACCAGGGGGCTGGCACTCTGTCAACTGGCGTCACCTTCCTGCCTGCAGTGGGAGACAAGCAGGCCCCCGTGAAGCCTCTTCTCTGTGGGGCATTGATGTCTCCAACCCACCCTGTTGTTGCCTTCAAAGTAGTGGGAGGAGGAGAGAGACAGCTGCCACCTGTGTCTCCCCAGGGGCCTGGAATGAGATGGTAACTCACCCCGGCTACTATGCTGAGCTGGTGGAGAAGTCCATAGGGAAGTACAGCCTGGCCACGGAGGAGATTGAACGAGACCTCCATCGCTCAATGCCTGAGCACCCCGCCTTCCAGAACGAGCTCGGGATTGCTGCACTCCGGCGGGTGCTGACTGCCTATGCTTTCCGAAACCCCACCATCGGCTACTGCCAGGTAAAGGGGCTTAGCAGAGGTCCAGAGGCTCACAGGAGCAGGTCGCCATGGCCCCAGGCCAGTGTGGTGGCCTCATGCACCTGTGACCCTGCCCCATTCCCCCAGGAAGGAGCCTGACTGCAAAAAAAGACATAAATTTAAAACAATATTAATTGCTCATCTTATCCCCATGCCATATATTAAGTTGTCTTCTATGTGTTTCTGGTCTGGGTCTTGGCAGCTTTGATTTGTGTGTGTGTGTGTGATACATCATTTTGTGTATGTGGTACAACATAAAATGTACCATTTTAACACTTTTAAAGTATACAGTTCAGTAGCATTAAGTACGATCACATTGTTGTATAACCATCACCAGCATCCATCTCCAGAACTTTTTCATCTTCCCAAACTGAAACTCTGTACCCATTAAACACTAATTCCCTATTCCCCCTCCCCCAGCCCTTGGCAACCACCATCTACTTTCTGTTGCTATGAGTTTGACTATTCTAGGTACCTCATATAAGTAGAATCACACAGTATTTGTACTTTTGTGACTGGTTTACACTTAGCATAATGTCCTCAGGTTCCATCCATGTTGTAGCATATGTCAGAATTTCCTTTTTTAAGGATGAATAATATTCCAGTGTATGGATATACCACACTTTGTTTATCCATTCATCCATTGATGGATACTGGGTTGCTTCCACATTTTGGCTATTGTGAATAATGCTCTTGTGAACATGGATGCACAAATATCTGTTTTGAGTTTCTGCCTTCAATTCTTTTAGGTATATACCTAGAAATGGGGTTGCTGAGTCATGTGGTAGTTCTGTTTAACTTTTCGAGGAACCTCCATTCTTCCTCCACAGCTTCTGCTCCACTTTATATTCCCACTAGAAATTTACGAAGGTTCCAATTTCTCCATATCCTCACCAACACTTTTTATATTCAGTTGTTTCATTATAGTGATGGGTGTGAGAGGGTATCTCATTGTAGTTTTGATTTGCATTTATGTCAGCTTTTGATTTCAAATCTAGTGGGCATGTTCCTGGAAGTGGCTTGCTGTTTCCCTTTTGTGTCCAGATTTCAGGGAAGCCAGCTCCCCCAAACTCACTTGCTGCAGGACCGGTATTCTGCATGACATATTACCAATTCGTGGAAGGCCAGGGTGCTGGCTTGAAATAACTTTTTAAAATAATTTTCCAATTTTGAAGCTTCTTCTCAAAAGTCTTTTTATCAGCTAAGGCTGTGTGCAGGCCCAGTTTTACTGCAGTCGAGTGGCCATTGCCTCAGTGTGGGGCTCTGGCCATGCAGCTCACTTACACGTCAGCTTGGCCCTGTGTCCTACCTCTGATACCAGACACCACTCCAAGCAAGTGCTATATGCTAATGTCTGCCTTCTCTGTTTTCCCGGTGCCTTCTGACCCAGTTTGAAGGAGTTGGCTGACTGTTTCTGTCAAATTGATTTCCTGCAAATTGCCTTTTGGCAAATTTCCCAGAGTTGGGCTGGGACAGTTTCTCATTGCCAGATGCTGGACCCTCCTGAAGGGGCAAAATTGCTTGTAGAAGGAGGCTGGGGCAGGCTCCTTGTGGGGGAAGGGACGGTTTTACTTGGGGGCCAGCAGCATGAGCCTCCTCCCTCGCTGTCTCTGTGCCTGGCAGGCGATGAACATCGTGACCTCAGTGCTCCTGCTCTATGGCAGCGAGGAGGAAGCCTTCTGGCTCCTGGTGGCCCTCTGCGAGCGTATGCTGCCTGACTACTACAACACCAGGGTGGTGGGTGAGTGGCTCGCGGGGCTCTCCGTGGCGGTGGCAGCCCTCCCCTGGGCCAGCCTCCACACCATGCGGTTGCCACATCTGAGCTCTTGCAGGCCTTACAGCCATCCTTCAGGCTGCATCCAGACACGGTTCCCACCTGACAGATTAGGAAACCAAGAAGTAGTCAGACAGCTAGAAAGTGAAGGCCAAACGCAGACCCCCAGCCATCGGCCTCCACAGCCCAGACCCCTGCCCAGACTGTGTGGGTTCCTTAGGAGTTGCTGGCACTGACAGTTAGAGGATACTACACCTTCATGGGCTTTTGAAAGTCTGCCTGAGGACTAAGTTCCCATTTATCTAACTTCTCTTTAACTTTTTTAGTATGGAAGACTTTAAGCATCAAAACTAGAGAGTATGGTGTGCCACTCGTACCTGTTGCCAAACTTCAACTGTTATGAATTCACGTCCAATAAATTTGTTATTGAAGGGAAATGAACTTACAAATGTATTTAATTACATGTATTTTTAAGTCTGTCATTCTAAGATGTCCTTCCCCTACTGTTTGAATTTTGGAATTACCACTGTTGGGGTCCTTCAGAGTCGCATCTGGTCACAAGCCTCAGGATAGGACACAGAAGTCACTGAGGCCACTGTTTACTTCTGATGTGTTTAGGGAGCAATTAGTATTTCCCCAAAAGAAATCCAAGCATAGTGGAAGAAATAGTCCTTTTCATACAGTGGGTTGGAAGCTGTAGGAAAAGTACTTCCAGGGGTCTTTTTTCTTTCTTGTTTTCTTCCCCATTCAGCTCTCACTATAAGCGGAACTGGCAGGGCTAGGGGTGGGCAGGGGTGGGTGGGCTTCCTGTGGCTCAGACCAAGAGGTTGCACACAAGAGCCCTCCTGAAGCCATGGGGTGAACTCAGCCATCTTCATCCTCTCCATAGGAGCCCTGGTGGACCAAGGCATCTTCGAAGAGCTCACAAGGGACTTCCTGCCCCAGCTCTCGGAGAAGATGCAGGACCTGGGAGTAATCTCCAGCATCTCGCTGTCCTGGTTCCTGACCCTCTTCCTCAGTGTCATGCCCTTCGAGAGTGCCGTTGTCATTGTTGACTGCTTCTTCTATGAGGGCATCAAGGTGATCTTGCAGGTGGCCTTGGCCGTCCTGGACGCCAACATGGAGCAGCTGCTGAGCTGCAGTGATGAGGGCGAGGCCATGACCGTCCTGGGCAGGTGAACGTGCTGGGCCCCTCCAGTGGCCAGGAGCTGGTGGCAGAACCCTGCCCCTCACTAGCCCTAGGCACTACTCAGTCAGCATTTGGTGACTGAGCCCACCAAGTGCCAGGTCTCAGCTAGACCCGGGGATGCTCTAGGGGCAGGAGAGAGCTTCCTTTCTAGTGCTCAGATAGCGATAAGTGCTGGGAGAAAAGAAAACATGGGTAGTGCTCTGGGCTGGAGGGCCGCCGCTCAGATGTGTGGTTGGGGACACTTTCTGGTGGGGGGCGACCCAGAGCCAAGACCTAGACGATGACAACACCTGTGGGTGGTCAGGAGACGGCTAGCACATCAGGGCTTCCCACCTCTGGCGAGGGCAGGCTCCCTAGTTTTCACAAAGCAGTCCTAGTCGTGCCTTCCCAGCTCAGCAGCATCGCAACCTCCCCATCCCCTAGACAGAGCAGGGCTTGCTGTAGCAGCTGAATGAGCTGACACCCAGCCAGTCACACTAAAGGCCCAAAGTCATCCTGGTGTCCTCCTCCTCCCCCAGTCCCCACATCCCATCCCTCGCAGATTCCCTCTGTGATGCAACCCATTCCCTTCCTCCCTCCTTCCCTATTACCTCAGCACAGGCCTACGATACTCTCCCCTGGGCCCATGCCTGCTTCATTGTGGTTTTTTCTGCTCTGGTCTCTCACCTACCAGCATCCCACAGGACTCTGATCAGATGTGACCCTATCCCTCGCCTGGGACATGGGGAACTCCCTGTGCCACTGTTGGTCCTCTGTATAAAGATGCTGTCTAAGTCCCTCAGCCTGGCCTTCAAGCTTTTTTGGCCTCACTCTGGCCCATGCCCTAAGCTCTGGATGGTCCTGCCAGCTTACATAGGTGTATTGGCCCAGCCTGGACCCCTCACAGCCACCAGGGACAGCCTGGGACACTGCCGCTTGCCTGCCTAGGTGCTGACTGGGACCCTGCAGACCAAGCAGGATTGTTGCTTCCCTGCTCCAGGCTGTATTGGTTCCTGGTCCACACTGATGCCAGGACACTCAGCCCCTAACCAGAGTCAGTAACTGGTTTTCATGCCCATCTCCTATAACAGTCAGATCGGGTCTCTCCTCAGGAGACAGGGTCCATCTGGGGGGGATGGGACCAGGGCCAGTGGCTGGGAAGACCCCAGCCATCCTCTCCCGCCTAAGTATCAGGCTCAACCCAGAGAGCCTTGGAGGGTGTGGAGCCTTGGCTGGGCTCTGCAGGCTGGCCATCGTAGGGCCCTGTCCCCAGGGCTGTATCCCTGGATAGGCCAGATTCCCTGGGCCTGGCAGACACCGCCACAGCAGGCCTCCTCCCTAACTCATTCCTGGCACTCAATCCTTTGGACCCTGATTCTTCCTGGCCAGGGCAGGGAGTCCCATGTCCCCAGTGACCCACCTGAGGGAGAAGGGACATTGTTCCTCCAACTTGGACAAAGCTTTCCCCTGGTATAGTAGGGTCTGGACTTATAAGGGGTTCCTGTCCGTGGGCCCCTCCAGAAGACAGCCTGGTGTCCTCTGAGTTAGTGCTCAGTCCTCATTTGAGGGGCAAGGTTTTTTCTCCACTATCTTGAGGGAAGCTCCCCAACTTGCCAGGGCAGCTGCCAGGGCACATTTCTACCCTGCCAGAGGGATTCCAGTCCTCAGCACGCTCCTTAATTAGGAGTCTACACACAAATTAGGTCACTCCACATCACTTTCGTGTGGGCGAGACATTCCTGTTGCCTATGGGAGGTCTAGACTCTTGTCCTTTAATCTTTACAGATACCTGGATAATGTGGTCAATAAGCAGAGTGTTTCTCCTCCTATTCCACACCTCCATGCCTTGCTGACCAGTGGAGATGACCCTCCTGAGGAGGTGGACATCTTTGACCTCCTGAAAATGTCCTACGAGGTCAGCACTCAGCGGGCTCCTTTGGCCAGGCCACTGCATCTGGCCATGTGGTGTGGGCAACTGAGCGTGGGTGGTGGCCTCAGCTCTGGTTGCGCCTGATCTCACTGAATCACCTCTGTCCTGTAGAAATTCAGCAGCCTGAGGGCAGATGACATCGAACAGATGCGATTTAAACAGAGGCTCAAAGTGATCCAGTCCTTGGAGGACACGGCCAAGAGGAGCGTGGTAGGTTGCCAGTGGGGCAGGGGGCTGAGTGTGGTGACCCCGGGCGGCAGTGGGGCTGCAACACTGGACCAGGTGGGCTGCTCCTGCTGTTTAGACTCCAGACCTCTCCTGGGAACAGGGCAGGTGCAGAGCTCCCCATGTCCCTGTTCCTTGTGCTGCCTGTGTGCTGTTCGTGTGTGGTACTGGAATCCAAAAGTGTAGGTGCAAATTTGGGGAAGTGAGGAGAGGTCCCGGTCACTTTTTCTACTCAAGGCGCACAGTGGGAAGCTTCATTGGCACTCTGTACCCTGAAGGCTGAGCACCCTCTGGGCTGAGCCCTCCCTGCCTGCTTTGACACTTGTTCCTTGCCCTGCCCCTGGTAGCCACACAAGGCCACCCTCTGCCTGCCCTGCACACTGTGCTTCTGCCACAATCCTTTGTCGTTCTTGTCTCTGCAAGGGTCAGGCCATCCCTGCCACCCCATGCTGCAGGACCTGCTCATGGTCTCTGCCCCACAAACGCAGGGACTTTTTTGTCCCCATATTCCCAGCCCTCCTCTCCAGGCCTGTAGGGGACTGTGAGGGCCCTTTGGTCACAAGCAGCAGAAACTGACCCACTCCAGCTAATTGAAGTAAAAAGAGAACTGATGGGGCCGGCCCGTGGCTCACTTGGGAGAGTGTGGTGCTGATAACACGAAGGCCGTGGGTTCGGATCCCTATATAGGGATGGCCAGTACAAGCAGCAGAAACTGACCCACTCCAGCTAATTGAAGTAAAAAGAGAACTGATGGGGCCGGCCCGTGGCTCACTTGGGAGAGTGTGGTGCTGATAACACGAAGGCCGTGGGTTCGGATCCCTATATAGGGATGGCCAGTTCACTCAGGAGAGTGTGGTGCTGACAACACCAAGTCAAGGGTTAAGATCCCCTTACTGGTCATCTTTAAAAAAAAAAAGAGAGAGAGAGAACTGACTGGCAAGTTCTAGGACCCCTTCCAAAGAGCCAGCATCAGGATCTTTGCAGGGATCTAGATGACAGGAGCTAAATGACCATCTCTCACCCTGTGTCTCTTGAGAGAAAGGCTCACACGGCACCCACCCCAGGAAGGAACTCGGAGAGTCTGGGCTGACAGGGAGGGTGGGTGGCAAGGGATGAGTGTGTGGCTGCGCCCTCTTTCCTGAATGCACTGCCTTCACGTGCTTGAGCAGCTAGCGACACCAGACAGTTCCTGCCTTTGCCCTTTTCCATGTGGGGATTCTCTCAAAGAGCAAGCGTCTTGTTTCTGCCATAGCAAGAACTTGAGAATCCATCAGTACAGCCTGTTTTTCTTGCCTTCTAGGTCCGAGCCATACCAGTGGACATTGGTTTCTCAATTGAAGAGCTGGAGGACCTTTATGTGGTGTTTAAGGTGACAGCCAAGAGCAAAGGCAGGACCAGTACCCCATCCTAGTCCCTAACTGCATCCTCACAAAGGAGTTTTATTTTGTTTTGGTTTGGTTTTTGAGGCTAGCTGGTACAGGGATGTGTGTGAGTGTGTGTGTGTGTGTTTTGTTTTTTGACTGCTGGCTGGTACAGGTATCAAACCCTGGATGTTGGTGTTATCAGCACCACATTCTAACCAACTGAGCTAACCAGCCGAGAAATAGATTTAAAAGCATCCTCATGTAGTTACCATGAATCTCATGTTGTAGAATTTAATCCTCCTGAGTTTGGCCAGGACACTCTTTTGAGTGGCAGAAAATTCATTCACGTCAGCTTACATAGGAGAGGGAATGCATTGGCTCATATAACTGAAAAGTCTAGGGAGGTGAAGCGTCAGGCATGGCTGAGTCTAGGTGCTCAGACATTCTGTCATGCTTCCCCAATTCTGATGTCCTCTGGACAGCTCTTCCTACAGAGTGGCAGGACTGTCCTCAGCAGCTCCAGGGTTATCCTGACCTCTCAGTAACCCCAGTGGAAAGAGTTTTTCTTTCCAAGTGTTTTTAACAAAAAAACCCAGAGTTGATCATTTGAATGACTCAAATCATGTGCCTGCCCCACCCCTGCTAATGATGGGGTTGATCACAACCCTTTAACCCCATGGCCCGAGGGTGGGACAGGAAGGGTTTACCAAGAAAATTTCAGGTGCTGTTAACAAAAGAAGCAGAAAAGAGTACCAAAGAGAAGGTAAAACAACACAGTCACTGCCTTTCTGTTCTTGCTGCCCTTCCAGCTGTCTCTGGTTCAGATCCCTAGGTGGCCTGAGAGTCACAGCAGTCGAGCCATGTCTGCCCCTCACCTGAGAGCTCTGTCTCGGCTCCCCTGTCTGTTAATGGGCTGACAGTACCAACGTGGGAGGTTCTGTGAGATACAGAAGTGCCTGGCCCAGTGCTCACCACCCCAAGGCTCTGCAGATGGATGGAGGAGGAGGAGGGTGGATGCATTGGCCAGCTTAGGGATCCAAATAGCCCAGGGCCCAAGAAGCCAGGCCTTCTCACCAGACTGTGTCCCCCCAGGCCAAGCACCTGGCGAGTCAGTACTGGGGAAACAGCCGCACGGCAGCCGTCCGTCGGGACCCCAGCCTGCCCTACCTGGAGCAGTACCGGATCGATGTGAGCCAGTTCCGGGAACTTTTTGCCAGCCTGACACCCTGGGCCTGCGGCTCCCACATGCCTGTGCTGGCAGGGCGCATGTTCCGGCTCCTGGACAAAAACAAGGACTCGCTGATCAACTTCAAGGAATTCGTGACAGGGATGAGTGAGTGCCTCCAGAGTCTACCAGGGGCCTGACTCTCCCTCACCCTTTCTCAAGAAGCTCTCCAAATGCCAGCCCAGCCAGTTGTCCCTATTCCAGCAAGCAGAGCCTTGAGTCCTTGGCCCTTGATAAGGGAAGAGCAATTTACCCACTAGAGACACGTCTGGGTCCAGTGGGAGCCCTCCCCACCCTCCCTCCCTCCCTCAGTCCAGGCTGCTGGAGGCAGCGTCTACAGGCCTCAGGAAAGCTCCCGGTGATCTCTCCAGGAAGGAGTCAGTCTGGCTCAGGCCATGAACAGGGTCCCCACTAGAACCCACAGGAGCCCTCTTGCCTTCCTCCACAGGTGGGATGTACCACGGGGACCTGACAGAGAAGCTCAAGGTACTCTACAAACTGCACCTTCCGCCAGGTGAGGTCCTCCCCCACCCACTCCCCAGTGGGGCCTCTCACGTGTCCAGACTTCAGGATGCAGTGCCCCGAGGTGCAGGCACAGAGCTCTGTGGGACTGTGGGGCCTTGAGGCAGCATGGGGGGCTCAGCATGGTAGAGGCTCCCTTGTCCCAGTGGGGCAGAGGGAAGCATCCTGGAGCACTGGGGCTGAGCCCAGTCTGGTCGTGGTCTAAGAGCAGCACCATGAGGTGGGAGGATGTGGTGGAGCGTCCTGTCAGTGCCCAGACATCAGTGGGGGCAGCACTCGCATCAACCCCAAAACCATGAGGGGTGCTCGAGTGGAGATCCAAGTTTGATACCAAGACTCCTTGCATTCATTAGTTTGTCTTTAAGTCTTTCAGAGATTCCTATTTATTCCCAGAGGGTCAGCCTGTGGGCACTGCTGAGGCCTCTGGGGAATCCTGTCACATGGGCTGAGGAGGGGTTACCTCTCTCTGGCCTAAGTGGTGCTGGAGCCCGATGGGACCTGAGTGGAGGAGCCATCTACTGCAGGCATCTGTTCTGAGCCGGGGAAGGGCTCACAGAAGCCAGGCCAGAGCTTCAGTTGCTGGGTACCTGGCTCCTTATCACAAGAAACTGAGACTTGGGCAGGTGAAAATAACAGTCCAGGATGCTCTGCTCTGGTGGTGGAGCTGACCCAGGTCCACACTGCTGTTCGCAACAGCAGCTGCCCTTAGAATCGGCTCTGAGTGATTTCTAGAATACTGGGGCTGGGCTTCAGCCCTGGAGAGTCTCACTTAGTTGCCTGGGGTGGGGCCCAGACCTGTAGTTTGTAAAGCTCCCCAGGTGATGGCTCCGTGCTGCCAGAGCTGAAAGGCCCCTGACATAGGTGTGCTCACCTGTGACTCACTTTTCCCTTTAAAGCCATGAGGAGCAGTTGCCTGTGGGACTCCTCGGGGGAAGGTTGGTACTGCCTTTGAAGAGTCATGGGCTGGACAGACCCCACTGGGTCTGGATCCTCTGGATGAGGGCTGCCCCCTTCCTGCCCCCACTCCTGAGCTACACCGGCATGCCCTGCCTCGTCCAGGACATAGGGCACTTGCACTCTGGTGGACTGTGGCCCACACCGCACCACCTCCCCTGTGCCATGCACTGTTAAACCCCTCACTGCATCCCCATCCATACAACAGGGAGAATGAACACCCCACCCCACAATCACAGAACCATGTGAATCCATAACCCCGAGTATGGCTTAGTCTCTACCAGCAAATACAAAGAGTGAGGCAGGCCAGGATGTACTGATCTGGAACAGACTCCAAGATATAAAAAGTGAAAACAGCAAGTTGCTTGTGTGTGGCCGGTCTCTGCCCATGTGCCTCTAGGAGTATAAAACACCCCAAAAGGATCCCCTGAACCAATCACCGTCGGGGTGGAAGGAGTCACTGTACTCCCAATGTAAAAGTCAAGAAAGTAACAACAAGAACTAATCACCATTAAAACCACTACCACATGTATGACAGGTGGGCACTGGGTCTGGTCAGGTATCCTGGGTGAGGAAAGCAAAGCCTTTGTCCAGAACTCAGAGGAGGTTTGCTTGGAGTGCAAATCATACTGTTTTCTCCTGCCCTCGCTTTTTCCTTCTTTATGAGCACAGCTCTGACCCCGGAGGAAGCTGAGTCAGCCCTGGAGGCCACCCATTATTTCACGGAGGACAGCTCCTCTGAAGGTGAGTGCCTCTGGGATGCCTGACGCTCCCAGCCCTGGCCTACAGCCACTTCAGTCTTCCAGTGGGGCCCAGGCAGGTGCCCAGCAGCCCCCCTGGGCTCAGGGAGCATGCTGTATTGGGGTGCTCCCTGGGAGGGGCCTCGGGCTGAGCCCTGCCCATGTTTCCTGGGGCTGGGTCGGTCCCCATGAATGTTCTCACTCCTGTTTCTCTTGTGTCTCTGTATTCCTGGACCTTGGCTTCTCCTTACTCTGTCTTCCACTCCTCCTCTGCTATCCCTTCCAGCATCTCCTCTGGCCTCAGAACTGGATCTTTTCCTGCCCTGGGAGGCTCAAGGTCAGTCCTTGGAGGGCAGTGGCACCCCCTTTGCCTCTGGGCTTCTCCTTGCTAACACTGCCCTGCACAGTCAGGAAGCCTGAAAGCTCTTTGTCTCAGGGACCCCTCCAGGACTTCATACGTTGTGAGAAGGACCCAGAACCAAACCACTCTTCTGTACAGGTGAAGGAGGGGGGCAGCCTCCATGTTAGTCACTGAGGATTCACAGCATATTGGGCATCCAGCAGGCCAGGGTGTCACCTCTGCAGCCACATGCAAAAAGTATTCTGTCATCACGTTCATAGGAAAGAAATGCAAAATGCTATCATTGCAACCGTGGGAAACAGACACAACATGGATGAGTGGAGCCTGGAGCGAATGGTAGATGCTTTCCTTGGAAAATATCTTCATGTTCCACCTAATTTTTTCGTTAAGGAAAAATCACGTTTAAAGCCCATTGGGAGCATCTGATCCAGGGTGATGGGGGCATCCTGGGATCTGGCTTTTGAGCTGGTGATGTGTAATACGTTCACCAAACCACAACTCTGCCCTCTGATTTTAGGTGGGGGATAATACACACCAACGTCAGAACTGACCCAAGGGCCGGCCCCGTGGCTCACTCGGGAGAGTGCGGCGCTGGGAGCGCCAAGGCCGCGGGTTCGGATATTATATAGGGATGGCCGGTGCGCTCACTAGCTGAGCGTGGTGCAGACTGCACCATGCCGAGGGCTGTGATCCCCTTACCGGTCAAAAAAAAAAGAACTGACCCAAAAGAAAAGATAAAAAATAGTGTGTATCAAGTTACCTATGGCAGTCCGTTGACAGTGTTAAAGACTTACGTGAATTTGAGGATCTTGATTTCATGTATACAGACTGAAGAAGCAGGTGCACCTTCTGTTATACTTAGAACCTGGGCAAATCAAACATGCTTTAGGCTTGTCCCAGGTGCTTCTGGGAGAGGCCAGGCCTGATGGCACAGAGCTCTGTCCTCAGACCTCACATAACTCCAAGGCAGCAGGGTGAGATGCCTGAGCCCAAAGAAGTGTGCCCTTCACTGCCACCCACACAGCTGGTGAGGGTAGTTCAGAGCTGGGATGTCATCCCCACCTGAGGGCCCACCAATGCCACACTGCCCCAGGGAATAGTCCTGGGAGAGCTGGTCTGCCTGCTTCTCCTGAAGTTCATGTTCACACATAGCAGCATGGTGTGTGCTGACTTCAGCAAATGTGGTTTATGAAATACAGTGCTGAGCACAGGCTTGTGTATGTAAAATTCCTCATCAATTGACATGGCAGTCGCAGGTGGAATTGGTAATTAGGACTTCCCTGGGTTTGACCTTTTTCAGCAGAAACTATGGAATTTATTAGTTCTTGGACTTGTCCATAATGCACATCATGGTTCATTTTAAAAAACAGTGTGGTAAGGGCCGAGCCCGTGGCGCACTTGGGAGAGTGCGGCGCTGGGAGTGCAGCGACGCTCCCGCCATGGGTTCGGATCCTATATAGGACTGCTGGTTCGCTCACTGGCTGAGCGCGATGTGGGCGACAGCACACCAAGGGTTGCGATCCCCTTACCGGTCACGAAAAAGACAAAAATAAATAAATAAATAAAAATAAAGGGCCGGCCCGGTGGCGCACTGCTACAGTGCGCCGCTTGGGAAGCGCGGTGGCGCTCCCGCCGAGGGTTCGGATCCCACATACAGACCAGCTGCTCACTGGCTGAGCGAGGTGCGGGAGCAACACTGAGGGTTGCAATCCCGTTGCCAGTCCCGGTCCGGTGCGGGCGCGACACTGAGGGTTGCGATCCGTTGCCGGTCACGAAAAAAGACAAAAAGACAAAAAATAAATAAATAAATAAATAAATAAAAAACAGTGTGGTAAGACTTGTATTCCTTTGAAAAAGAGGAAGTGAGGGTTCAGTGGCATTTTATGTTAATGTAACCAAGTGAAGAAATGACCAGGCCCTCCCTTGCTGCAGCGCTGTAGGGCCAGGGCCAGGCCAGGCCAGAGGGGCAGTGTGGGGGACCTGCCCACGCCAGGACCCCGCCCAGACTGGTTCTGCAGAACCACAGACTAGACCTCTCAAGGACCTCAGTGGTTTGCAGTCGTAACAGAGGAAGAATCTTCTCCATGTTCTTTTTATTTTTTCCGATTGTCTAGAAGCACTACCGCAGGAAGAGCGAGACGGAAGTGGAAATGAAGATGTCCAAGAAAAAAGAGGAGGTGCAGGATGTTCTCTGCTAGTGTTGTGAGAGATCGCAGGGTCATTGGGGTCTGGGTGCCCCTTGCTTGCTGGTCCCTCCCCAGTCACTGCAGGAGAGCCCCCCTAGCTTGGGGAGATTGCAAATGTGTGCCCTGATAAAGGGCCGTGCCTCTAGGTGAACTGCCTGGCTCCTCAGCTGCCATGGGAGGCTCCACTACCCGGCAGCCCAGGCCTGTCCCCTCTTGGTGTTCCACCAGCACTCTACCTCTCGTGCCAGCCTCTCCCCAGCCTTCATGTTGTTCTATCACCATTTCGGGGAAGACAGGTGTGGGGCATCGTCATCAACTAAGGTCCAACTTCAGCTAATTGAGGGGAGACCCTTGAGTGTTCTGGGGTGTTTTCCCATCACCATCTCCCCACATGCTAGAGTGTTTTGTAGTAGGGCCCAGGTAATTCCAGGCCAGAGAACATCCAACCCCGCTACTCCCTGCTACCAGCCCCCAGCTCTCTTTCTCTCACATGACAGATGGAGATTAAATCTCTTTTTCTCCCAACTTGCAGAGGAGAAGGGAAGCAGCCCTCCAGACTATCGGCACTATCTTCGAATGTGGGCCAAGGAGAAAGAGACTCAAAAGGAGACGATCAAGGACCTTCCCAAGATGAACCAGGTAGGCTCTACCAGTGCCCACAACAAACATTTCTGGAGAAATTCTGACCAAGACTGAGACCTAACCTCACAGATCACACCACCCACGCTCCAGCACTATTCTGTAGGGGGATTCTCTTCCCTACCTCTAGAGCCTGCTAGTCCTGGATGACAGTCAGTGATGATTCCAGAAAGACGAGAGGCTAGCTCCTCCAGGGCCTTGTAGAGATTGGTGTTTCCATGGTGACAACTTGCTTAAGTCAAATCAATATCCATGAACCAGAGAAGCACTGGGGAAGGCTGGCCTCCAATAGCCAGAGACTCACACACCACCTCTGATAAGAAAGCCTTCCCAGGCTCCTGCTTCCTCCAAGGCCCTGCCTGGGAGCTCTGCACATGTGGGTTAGCGTCTCCTCCACGGCCCTCGGGCCAGACCCCGCCCTGGCTGTGCCCAGAAGGGGACCCTACCATCTGAGTGCTCTGTCACCCACAGGCCTGAAGTACAGGGTGCCCCGTGGAATGAGGCTTCATCCCACTCAGGCCAGGAGGCCCAAATGTGCATTTTAAGGACCTAGAACCTTCCCTCCCCACCCCAGGCCCTCCTCAGCTGACCCACACTGTACTTACCTTGTCATCACCCTCTAAAGAGCTTCACAAAAGGAGAGAGCTGAAGTTGCTCCTGATTAAAAATATACAAAGTCAAAGGTGATTCCACAACACAATGAACAAGTCCTTGTAGTGACTGGGTTTAGAAAGTCATGATAGAGATATTTCTCTCTGCTAACAGAATGGATGTAGAAACAGGGACTCCCAGTCAGAACTGCCATTCACCATATGCTGAAAGAACAGCAGCTGGAAAAGAAAGCCTTTTACAGGGCTGTGTGGCATTGGTCAAGTCACTTTCCCCTTCTGAGCCTCACTGTTCTAATCTGTGAAATGGGAATGATAAGGCACAGGTTGTGGAGATGATTAACTAGAAGACCTCCCAGCACAGTTAGAATGGCCAGCGTTGGCATTCTGGCTAACAAGGGTGGTCGGCACCTTTTACCATATCCTTGTTCTTTTTCTGTTTTTTTTGCTTAAAAGGAGCAGTTCATCGAGCTGTGCAAGACACTTTACAATATGTTCAGTGAAGACCCCATGGAGCAGGACTTGTACCATGCCATCGCCACGGTGGCCAGCCTGCTCCTCCGCATCGGCGAGGTGGGGAAGAAGTTTTCAGGCCAGACAGGCAAGAAGCCCAGGGATGATGCCCACAGTGGGGACCACAATGGTGCCAAAGAAGATGAGCCACCAGCATCTGAACCCCATCAGGATCCAGTGCAGGAGCTTCAGCCACCAGCTACAGGGGACCCCCAGGCCAAAGCCGGCGGAGACACCCACCTTGGGAAAGTGCCACAGGAAAGTCAGATGGTGGTTGAGGGGGGCAGTGGTGAGGGGCAGGGCTCACCCTCCCAGCTGCTGTCTGATGATGAAACCAAAGACGATATGTCCATGTCCTCATACTCGGTGGTCAGCACGGGCTCTCTGCAGTGCGAGGACCTCGCAGACGACACAGTGCTGGTGGGTGGGGAGGCCCGCAGCCCCACGACCACTGCACGTGTTGGGGGCACCGTGGACACCGACTGGTGCATCTCCTTTGAGCAGATTCTGGCCTCCATCCTGACAGAGTCCGTGCTGGTGAACTTCTTTGAGAAGAGAGTGGACATTGGACTCAAGATCAAGGACCAAAAGAAAGTGGAGAGACAGTTTAGCACCTCTAGTGACCATGAGCAGCCTGGGGTCTTGGGCTGACCTCTGCAGCTGAACATCTCTGTCTGAGGCATCAGAAGTGGGGCTGGCCTCTCATCTTTTCTCCCTTTCTGCTTTCTCTTTAAAGACACACCCCTCCAGTTCTCCCGCAGAAGCAGCAAGTCGTAAGTGGAAAGAAGACTGATGCAGACACAGTTGCCTTAGACGGATTCCCTGGCCTGCATCTCCTGGCACCAGCTGCTCCTGGGGCCCAGGAGGAGGCTCATCGCTGCCATCTTCCTCTTTGCCCAGTGGGAACCCACCTCGAGCCCGGCCACCCCTTGCGTAGTGTTAGAGGCTCTCAGATCTGTCCCTGCTTGCCTCATGCCTCTGCGCCCATGCTGTGGCCAGGCCACACCGGGTCTTTCCTGCCATTTGGCACCAGGTAGGGGAGTCATGTGCTTGTTGGGCACCAAAGTGATGGAACCTCTGAGGTGCTCTCAGGAGCCCTTGAGCCTGAGAGCCTCCTGACTGAGGAACACAGGCAGAAGACATCTGTTGCACACACAGGTTACTTTATGTGCTCTCTCAGCTCATCATCCTCACAATTAACTTTAAAAGCACATCCCTCAGGTCCTGATATATTTCCTTGTATTCATTTCAGTTGGCTAAAAATCACACTGTGCTCAATGCCTTAATAAATCCCTGAAAGAAGTAAACCACACTGTGTACAGTGCCTTAATGTGGCTCTTGACCACTGCTTAGGCCTCGTGGCTTCTCCCCAGGCCAGGTGTGGGCCCCGGCTACATTCCAGAAGTTGAGGGCACTTACTCTCCTATGGGGGTTGGGGAGTGCAAGACCCACCTGGTTAGATGGGGACTCAGAGCATGGTGGTGCAGGCTGGGCAGGGTCTGTGCAGACCTGCAACAGGGAACGCCCCCACTTCCGCAGGTCTCAGTGGGCAGGGAGGCGGTCTGGGTGCAGGAGGTATGTCCTCAGACCTGGGCTACAGCAAGCCATCAGCCCTTGGGTTCAAGAAGCACACTGTGGGACCATAAGTAACTAGTAGGAGACTCTTGAGCTCAGCCACAAGGACCCTCTCTCTTTGCAGTAGGAGCTGAGGCAGATCATGGGTGTCAAGTGTTTGCCCTCCATAGGGCCCACTCTTGCTCCTACTAAAAGATATAGCTCCATGGCTGTTTTATTATTTTTTTCTTTTAATTTAGAAGCTTTATTGAGGTATAATTTACCTACTGTAAAATTTGCTAAAGTTACAATTCGGTGATTTCTACTAAATTTACAGAGTTGTGCAACCATCTCCACAATGCAATTTTGGGATATTCCCATCAACCTACAAAGGCCCCTCAGGCCCATGTGCAGCCAATCCCTGTTCCCACCCCCAGCTCCAGGCAACTGCTAATCTACTTTCTGCCTCTATAGATTTTATGGCTGGTTTTAAAAATAACAGTGCTGTCCAAGATTCTACCTTGTTTACAACTGCTATGTCAGTCTCAATAAATGCAGCAAAACAACATCCAGGAAAAAAATAAAAATCATAAATTAGGCCAGAGAGTTTCCTTTCTAGTATTTACACAAACTGCCATGAAGTAATTTCAAAGCATTCATACCAAAAAGACTGTTCTTGACCATAATGCAACTTAGTAAAGATATACATAAGAATCTCACACATATGGCAGTGCAAAGTCTCAAATTGATTGCATTCAATTAGATTTAAATAACGTGGAATTTGGGTAAATTTTAAATACCATGTAGAAGTATAAGTTTGTCAATGTAACAATTAAGCCAAAGAATATAAAGGAGGAATCTAGCCTCAAATGATGAAAGAATTACAAAAATGTACAATGCTTTATTAATCATTTAACCTGGGATAATATTCAAATTTTTTTTTTTTTTCCTTTTTTGTCTTTTTTACTGACCGGTAACGGGATCGCAACCCTCGGTGTTGCCCCCGCACCACGCTAAGCCAGTGAGCGGGAACCAGTCTCCACATGGGATCCGAACCCTCGGCGGGAGCGCTGCCACGCTCCCAAGCGGCGCACTCTCCAGTGCGCCACTGGGCCGGCCCCCAATTTTTTTTTTTTAATGACTGGTAAGGGGATCTCAACCCCCGGCTTGGTGTTGTCAGCACCACGCTCAGCCAGTGAGCAAACCGGCCATCCCTATATAGGACCAACCCGCGGCCTTGGTGTTATCAGCACCACACTCTCCCGAGTGAGCCACGGGCCAGCCCATATATTCAAAATGTTTAACCAGAGCACTAACATTAGATAAAACAGGGATGATACAAATAAAACTTATTAATATATTTTTTATTCTGTGAGTAAACATGAATAATTGTATATCTTAAAATTGCTTACCAGGCTGGATGGTTAGCTCAGTTGGTTAGAGCATGGTGTTGTAACATCAAGGTCAAGGGTTCAGTTCCCCATACTGGCCAGCCACCCAATAAAAGAAAAACTGCTTAGCAAGTGATATAAGTTGTACCAAACCATTCATCAAGTCATTTATAATTTCCAAGGAAAAAATATATGTATATGAATTTTTAAAGGATTACATGTTTATGCAGAAAGGAGGAAAAATACAGAAAAGTAGAAAATATTTTCTAAGTACTTAAGACTTAAATACTCAGTATTTGGGTGCTTATTTTTTTCTATTTTTTTTTTTTTTTTCAGAGTTGAACCGTTACCATATGAATTTTTTATTCTGCTCTCTGTTAAGTATAAAACGTTCCTTGCAGATACCTTCTGCCTCAGCAACAATAACTCAAACGTGGAGATAAACGAAGATCACCCAAATGAGAAACAGACTATTCAGAACTTACTCTAGAAGGGGTATCAATCATCATCACTTGTATCTGGCAGAAACTCAAAGTCTGGCAGGGGGTGGGAGAGCTTTAGAGTGGAAAAAAGGGAAGGCTTCAGGTGCCTCTGTTCGAAAGCTGTTGGCTGGGGAAGCTGCAAGTGAGCTAACAAGAAGCAGGATGTTTTATGTGATTGGTTTGGAGAGCATATTTGGCTTTCTCTGTTTGGTTCTGAGATTGGAGGAGCAGGGTGCAAAGAATAGGGAAGCAGGCAGTCATTGAGCCAGTCTCGACTGTTTCGGTCAAAACTTGCTGTAGAGGTTGTGGCGTGGCTTCCGGGCTTGGTCACTGCAGAGGTGTGGGTCAGAGTTCTGTCACACTGGCCGTGTCCGTTTGTGTATTCAGTCCACCGAACACAATTCAAAAAAATTCTTTTTCTGATATATGTTTATTGTGCAAAATTTGGGATAATATATATATAACTGAAATTATGTACATTTTGTGACCTCCTTGCTCCCCAACAACACCCGTGACAGCATTTTCACTTCAAAATCAGACTGTTTGTAATGGACCTGCCCGATGGTCCATGTCGATTTATCGCAACCAACCGTTCTTTAGAATACTTATTTACATTTTTTCCTGTTGTACTTCGGTGAACACTAGTGCGTAAACAATCTGGGTGATAAGGATTGTTTCCTTAGGATAGCGGTAATTGCCAGCTGCTTTCCATAACTTTTTCCCCACTTTACCGTTCTACCAGCTTCCTATAAGAAGGGCACGCGTGAGTGTCCTGGTCGGCTGGACTCAGGCACCGGGTGCGGCTGAGACAGAAGAGGCGCGATACTCCTCCCTGCCCAGAGCAGGACTTCCAGAGCGGGGTCGGAGTGGGGCTTTCTCGGGGGACTGCAGGAGGGATTGGTTTTCAGCTGCCTCCGGTCTCCGTCTTCCTCTCCAGGAAGCGTGGGGCTGGTGAGCTGCCTCCGTTTCCCCGGGGTTACCGGTTCTCCGGCCCTCCGGCTCAAAGACTTAACTGCCCACCTCTGTCCAGATGTCTTGCAGATTCCAACCACGGGCCCCGAAGTGTGGGGATGCAAAACAGGGAGGTTCCCTCCATCTCCCGCTCTACGACTTGAAAACGCGGAGGAACGGGGCAGGCCAAGCGGCGTCTGCAAGCCCGGCCCGTGCAACTTCAATCTTCCCAGCGAGCCCCGGAGGAAACGCTGGTTCAGAAAGAGACGGGAACTGGCCGGGGTCGCAGCGAATCGGTGTCCTGGCTGACGCAAACTCACGACAATTCCGGACACCACAGCAGTGGGAGGGCCTGAGTCCTTACGCGGTCTTAAGGTGCCCTAAGTGACCGCTAAGAGGCGCCAGAGGCTAGAAGGGACCTAGGGTAAAGACTGACTTTACTTAATTTCAAGACTTAGTGTAAATCAAGACATTGTGTTATTGGCCAAAGGACAGACATATGGGTCAATTAAATCCAATAGGGAGCACAAAAATATATCTACCTACAGTCAAGCTATTTTTTTCAACAAAGATTTCCAAGGGAATTCAATGGGGAAAGAAAAGTCTTTTTATCAAATGGATATCCACAGGGGAAAAAAATGAACATTGGCCCTCACCTCACACTGTCCACAAAGTTTAAATTTATCATAGACCTAACTGTTGAAACTAAAACCATAAACATTCTAGAAGAAAACATAGGTGAAAAAAATCTTCAGGATGTTGGTATATGCAAAGATTTGTTAGGACACACAAAGCACGAAGCATAAAGAAAATATGGATAAATTGGGTTTTAATAAAATTTAAAGCTTGTTCTTTAAATATTTTTTTTCTTTTTTCTATTGCTAGCCACATTGTTGACAAAGCTTGCTCTTTAAAAGATACCGTTAACAAAACAAAAAGGCAAGGCATAGAACCGTAATAACTTCGTATAGCATACATTATACGAAGTTATACGAAAGCGGGGCGGGGCGCAGACGCACAAAGAAGGCGCCCGGCACGGGACGGGCCCGAGTGTCGGAAGCGGGGCGGGGCGCAGGCGCACGCCAGGCGGGGACGGAGTTTGGGATGGCATCGCCTCAACCGGCTCGGGTCCTGCGGTGCTGCAGCTGCCGTCTATTCCAGGCGCACCAGGTGGGGCGGGCGCCGGCCTCCTCCTCCCGCGCGGGGACGGCGGGCAGGAAGTGGCGGGGCCGTGGGCGCGGTGTCGTGCGGCTGCAAGATGTACCTGGAGCCCAAAGAAGTAACGGTGACTGTGCTGAGGACTGGGCTTTATCGGTGTCGCTTCCCTATGTCGTTGTGCGCTTTTTGTTTTCGTTTTTTGCTTGGTGGTTGTAAAAATCAGAGGTAATGGTTTCTGCGGAGGTGGGCTCGTGAATTCCAGCAGGTAGTTGGGGAACCCAGTTTGAGGATAGCATTCTTTATGCAAAGCCTAGCTCTTTCTCAGTTTAAGTTAAATACTGTACAAGGGAGATGACAGTTCGTGAGTCTAAGACGACAGTGATGTGCCACCGAAGCATCCCCCGTCAACGCCTGGGCGCCCTTTGGTGTCTCCATGACTCTCCCTCCGTCTCTATCCGCGTGGAGAGGGCCCGACGCCTATTCGCCGAAGCATAAGCAACGGACGTATCGAGTATTTTAAACAGGATAAGCGATACTTATAAAACGTATTTGCTTCCCCGAGTTTCAACACGCAAGATAAGGGAATGTCACTTAACCTAATCTTTTCTGGATCGTACTTTGTCTCCCTGCTTGATGTCACATAATACCGCCGTTAGTGTATCCACTTCTGATAGTTCCCCCCTCCTCCTAGTTTTCTGCTAATCCACTGTGCCCTAGGAAAGGATAGCATCAAACTTCTTTAAAGTGTATGTTAACAAGTCAGTAAGATGCTGAGTATGCATCTGTAAGCTTGCATTTATTATTATTTTTATTTATTTATTTATTTTGGCAGCTAGCCGGTATGGGAATCCGAACCCGTAACCTTGGTGTTACCAGTGCCACCCTCTCCCAAAAGAGCTAACCGGCCAACCTGTAAGCTCGCATTTAATGCTGAGACTTAAGGGCTATTTTGGGGGCTCAGAAAATTTTTACTTATTTCCTTTTCTGGACTATGTTCTAGGAGTTTAGAGTAAATGGAAATAATTTGTTTTTTAATTATTACACCTTTATAATGTAGTGCATGCTGTCGTGATCGTTTTCAATTCTATGAAAAACGATTTGAAACCAAAAAGGAAGTTAACTGTTTAATTGTAAGTCTGCTGTTTACCGCACAATTTCACACATCTCTCTTAAATTCAACAACCTCTGAATTAGGTATCATTCCCATATTACAGAGATGGGAATACTGAAATCCAGAGAAATCAAGTGGTTTCTCCATCTAATAAATGTCAGAGCCAGACCTGTACATTTTTTGCCTGTTAAAGATCCTGTTATACCATACTGTTTCTTACCAGCTCCCCCGAATTAATCAGTTACCAGTTACTGTGTGTTCTTCCAGATTTTTTTTTTTTTTTTTTGGTCCTTTTTTGAGACCGGCTGCACCGCGCTCAGCCAGTGAGCGCTGTGAGTGCACCGGTCATCCCTATATAGGATCCGAACCCGCGGCGGAAGCGCTGCTGCGCTACCAGCGCCGCATTCTCCCGAGTGCGCCGCATTCTCCCGAGTGTGCCACGGGCTCGGCCCCCAGATTTTTTTTAATGCATTTATTACTTGCATATATACCCATATAAAATACACAGTGGTTTTTTGTTTTTGTTTTTTTTAAAAGATCACCGGTAAGGTGATCTTAACCCTTGACTGGGTGTTGTCAGCACCACACTCTCCCAAGTGAGCCACGGGCCGGCCCCGACATTTGTGATGTTAATTAAGCATGATATCTCATTACATTTCTTCAAGCAACTTTGGTGTCTCTCGATAACACCTTTTTGGTTATAAATGGACTCTTCGATTATCTCTTCTAACTAAATGTTTGCTTATATAAAAGCTGTCTTAGTGCTGGCCAGTTAGCTGACTTGGTAGAGTGGCACTGATAACACCAACATCAGGGGTTCAGATCCCCATACCAGCCAGCTGCCAATAAATAAATAAATCTATATTAATTTTTTTTTTTTTTTTTTTTAAAGATGACCGGTAAGGGGATCTTAACCCTTGACTTGGTGTTTTCAGCACCACGCTCAGCCAGTAAGCGAACCGGCCATCCCTATGTGGGATCCGAACCCGGGGCCTTGGTGTTATCAGCACCGCACTCTCCTGAGTGAGCCACGGGCCGGCCCTATATTTATTTTTCAAGATATTTATTTTGGACCTAGCCACTATATTAGATTACCTTAGTTTTTTAGTAGTTTTTCACTTTATTCTTTGGGTTTTCAGGTAAAAATCATATCAGTTATAATAATGATAGGGGATTTTTTTCTCCTTTCCAGTTTTTTTTGTTGTTGTTGTGGCTGACCTGGTATGGGGATTGAACCCTCGACCTTGATGTTATCAGCACCATGCTCTACCCAACAGAGCTAACTGGCCAGCCCTTTTTCCAATTTTTATACCTCTTACTATCTCTTTTTTAATTCCACTGGCTAGTACATCAGAAGAAATGGTAAATAAGAGTGGGAATCCTTGATTTGTTCTTCATTTTCATGGTGATGCTGGTAATGATCTCCAGCTTTGGAGTTGGTTCAAGGCATTTTTTAATGAAGAATCTAAGTCAAACACCAAGGTGAGGGGTTCAGATCCCAGCCAGCTGTCCAGAAAAAAAAGAAGAAGAAAATAAATGTCATAGAATTTTTTTGAGAACCGTGGGTGGCAGAGATCTAACTGGATTTTGTTTCATATGGATAGCCAGTTTCTCCAGAACCACTTATTAAATAGTCTGTTCTTTCCTCACTCTTAAAATGCCATGTTTATAATATGCTAAGTTTTCACACATATAAGTTGGTTTGTTTCTAGATTCTACTCTTTTCCATTGATTTATTTTATTTATTTTTTTTTTGCAGCTGGCCAGTTAAAGGATCCAAACTCTTGACCTTGGTGTTATAACACTGTGCTCTAACCAACTGAACAACCAGCCGGTCTCCACTAATTTTCTAAAAATTATTTCCGATCCACTTCCAGTTTGTTTTAAATAATTATCTGAGCTATATTTCTGAAATTTCATTGTAGGTGAAAAAGAGTCTCAAATGGACATGCAAAGCCTGTGGAGAGAAGCAGTCTTTTTTGCGGGTGAGTTCTGAGAAACAGAAAGCAGGTGGAGCCCAGCTCTGCAGAGGGTGTTCCTGTGGCATCCCAGCATTCCACAATGGGGACCGTTTTCTCTCACACAAAGTTCCCCAGATATGCGAGGAGAGCTCCTGCTCGAGGTACCTGCTCCCGCAGGAAGTGAAGTGAATGAAGCAGTGCCTGGAGAGGTCCTGCCGTTTGTTTCTTGCTTCAGCAAGTATTTATTGAGCACCTTCTATGTGCCAGGCACAGGGGAACAGTGGAAAGTAAGACTGTCAGAGTTCTTGTCCTCACAGATGTGCCCTGTGGAAGGGGAATAGGAACTAATACACATGTATGCGCGTGCACACACACACTCACACACGTGCATAATTTAAAACTAGACTGAGCACAATGAAAGGAAAGTTCAGGGGCCTTTAAGAAGATAACAAGAGGACTAACTGATATTTCATATTATAAAATCAAGCTGATTCTCTTGGCCTAAAAAAAAAAAAAAAGAAAAGAAGAGGGAATCAAACCTAACTGGGGGTGGGCAGGGCTGTTGCTGGAGGCAGGGGTATGGGAGAGAGTGGGCTCAGGAAGTGGAGGCAGTCAGGGAGCATGTGGATTGCACGGAACACATTGTAAATGCTCTTATTTAGCCTGCTTTTTTACCTGACATTGTGTACATCTTTTCAAGTTCACATATATTGACCTACCTAAACTCTTTTTTCTTTTTTTGGGTGGGGAGAGGGAGCAGCTAGCCAGTGCAGGGATCTGAACCCTTGACCTTGGTTTGGATCCCTAACCAACTACCTAAACTCTTCATACCACGAACTGTCCTGCATCTTTTGCTTTACTGAACCACTCGATCACCTGCCCCAGCCCTGATGCTGCCTCTACCACCTCATCCCTCACTCTTGTCCTCCGCAGCCACCGTGGCTTTCTCTGTGACCTTGAAACAATCCAAATCTGCTCCTTCTTAGGGCCTTTGTGCTCATTATTGGGGCTCTTTACTCTCTTCTCATTATCTTGACTGGGAATTATGTATTAATGCGTTCACATCAGTATTGTCCATCTCAGACTGTAAGTTCCATGAGAGCAGAGGCTTTACCTATTTTATTTACTGATGTATCCTCAGCTCCCAGCATAGTGCTGCACACAGTAAGTGCTCAATAAGTAATCAGTAAGTAACCAGTCTCACGTTGGTGAGCATTTAGGTCAATTTTCCTGCGAACTGTTATGCACAACTCTGCAATGAGGCTTTTTACAAATACCTCTTTGTTTACTTGACCGTTTACTATTTCCTTAGGACAAAGTCCTAGAAGTTAAACTGCTACTTTAGAGGGTATCTTTTGGTCAAGGTATTTGAGATGCAAACAATAGACAAAAACACTTCAGAATACCTTTAGCAAAATTTCAAAAGAATGTGCTGGCAAGGTGAAGCGATGTCCTAGGGAATCCAAGGGCAGAACTTCATCACTGACCCCAAGAACTGAAAAGCTGCCAACAAGCCAGGCATTATCTTTTCCTCCCTTTCTCCTCCCCCTCATCCAGTTTCTCCCTACATCTTCCTCCCCCTTCCCTTTTCTCTTCTCCTTCTCTTCCTCTTTCCTCCCAGACAGTTCACAGTAACATACTCTGCTCAGAGTCCACAGACTCCTATTCCAAGCCAGCTGGAGTAGCTGAGTTCCAGTTATGAGTTCCTGGGAGAAGCACTCTGATTGGGCCAGGTTGACTCAGATGTCTACTTCCTGTCCAGGCAACTGGGATTAGGTCTTGGAGGACAGGCTAGCTCATCATTTAGGCAGATACCCCACATAGTGAGCACTGCTTACTTTAGATGTCATACACATTTCTAAATTCTCCTTGAAGAAGGCCTTGCCTTCCTCTTGTGCCTCTAAGCAGGTGTGATGGTGTATGACTTATGGTTGACAGTAACACACACACCAAAATTGTAGGGGCTTACCACCATAGAAGTTGTCACGCTTGCTCTTGTAACAGTCCTGGGAGGACCTTGAGGTTAGCACGGTGCTGTCCTTGGGTCCCTCTGTTCTTTTATTCCCTGAGGCTTGTCTGCAGCTGCATCCAGCCACTGAAAGAGGCAGGAGCATGGTGGAGCTACCCAGGAGGCTTTTAGGACCAGGCCTAGAAGTAGCTAACATTTCACTGGAAATGCCTAGCCTCATGGCCCCATCTGACTGTGAGGCAGAGTGGAGAGTGAGGTCTAGTTTTGTGCCCTCATAGGGAAGAATGCATTTCTGTACTTAGCCAGAAGTCTCTGCCATTCAGGAGAGCACACCCCGACCAGTTATGCCAGACCTGTGTCATCACTCTTTTTTAACTTCGCCATGCCCCTCTCCATTCTCACTTGAACATGCTCCAAGCAGGACTGCAGTTCTACCAGTCCACTAAAATCGCTCTGGTCAAGGTTGGCAGTGATCTCCATGTTACTAAAAACAATGGTTAGCTCTTAGTCCTCACCTAACTTGACTTAGTGGCAGCATTTATCACAGTCTGTCCCTTCCGCCTCCATGAAACAATTTCTTCACTTAGAATTCCAGGTCATCCTGCTGCTGGTTTTCCTCCTGTCTTCCTAGCTGTTGTTTCAATTCACTTTGCTGGTTTTCTGCCATCTCCCCAATTTCTAAACATTGGAGTTCTCTAGAATTCAGTCTTTCAATCTCTCCTATAGCTGCTCACTCCCTGAGAACCCTCAAACGTATACCTCCAATCCAGGCCTGCCCCTCAGCTTGTTTCTGCTGCACCCACTCAGCTCTCTACTGGATATCAGATAGGAATCTCAGACTTGATATATCCAACACGGAAGCCCTGGTCATACCCCACAAACATGCCTTCCCCATAGTCATCCTCGTCTCTTAAATGCCAAGTCTCTCATTCTAGTTGTTTGGGTTAAAACCCTTGAAGCCATTTTTTTTTTTTTTTGGCTCCTGGCCAATAGCAGAGATCAACCCCTGGACCTTGGTGTTATCAGCACCACACTCTAGCTAACTGAGCAAGCGGCCAGCCCTCAAAGTCATTCTTGACTCCTCTTTTTCTTTTTTTTTTTTGGTGGCTGGCCGGTACAGGGAACTGAACTCCTCTTGTTCTTTACATTCTTCATCCAGTCTATCAGCAAATTTTGTCAGCTCCATCTTCACAATAGATCCAGAATATGACCACTTCTTACTCCAGTGGTGCGAGCCCACCTTGTTTCTTGCCTTAGTGTTTGTAGTAGCTTCCTAACTGACCTACCCGTGTCTGCTGTACAGTGTCTTCTCAACACTGCAGCTGAAGGGATTCCGCTAAAACATATACTGGGTCGTGTCACTCCTCTAGTCAGAACCTTCCAGGTTAGAGCAAAATCCGTGATCCTGCAGAAAGGGCCAGCGACCTAAGTTTTGCAAGTAGCCCAGTGTAAAATGAAAATGTGGGGCCCCTTGTTCAAAAAGCAAGGAAGACTTCTAGTCAAGATGGCAGAATAGACAGTCCCAGCACCACTCTCTCCCACAATTCAACTAATTTACAACTACTAAAAAGCAACGACAGCCAAGCTGGGGCCACTAGAGCTCAGGGGAAGAGGAGGAGAAACCTACAGAGTACATGAAGGCCAGAGAAGCCACATTGAGGAAAGAAAAAACCACTCTGACCATTTCAAGCCCCGGCCACTTCCAGGCTGGAGCTGCTGAGTGCACAGGGCAGGAGCTGGCAAAAGCCACAGTTGTGCCCTTCAGATGAAGTTGCTTGGAGGCGGCAGGAGAGAAGAGGGCCTTGCTGGCCCCCAGGCTGGCAAGACCAGTAATAGGGCTCCCATGGACCCACATAGGAGCAAGGAGCCACAATAACTGAAGAAAAAGAGCCACTCGGAGGCCAGAGAGTCATTGCAAGAGACCAGCCTATGGCCCATCCCATTGGAAGTGTTTGCAACACAGGCAGGGAGACAGGTCCACCGGGAGAACACTGGGACACAGCATAGATAGCTGATCTGCCCCCAACTCACCACAGGACCACTCAGAGGAGACTGGTCAGGAATATAGAATTGCACAGGGTACAGTTTGATGAAAAGACTTAGGCCCAGACCAGTGTTTCTACAAAACCCAGGTGCATTGGATTTCACAAAATCTGGAAGTACCTATAAAGTCAACCATTAAAACGTGAGATGCACAAAAAGCCTTCCCCAGGGAATCAACAGCAAAGCAGCAATTTAGCTCAACCACAGAGCTCAAGTACTGGTCCTCCTACTTTAGAAGTAAGCGAAGGACAGAGGAGAGACCTACAGAGTTCATGAAGGTGGGAGAAACTACCATGAGAGAAAGAAAAAGCTGCTCTGAGCATTTCGGGCTGTGGCTGCTTTAAGGCTTGAGCTGATGAGCGCATGGAGCAGGAGCCGGCAGAAGCCGCAGCTGTGCCCTTCAGATGGAGTTACTTGGAGGCAGCAGGAGAGAAGAGGGCCTTGGCGGCCCCCAGGACAGCAAGACCACTAATAGGGTTCCCATGGACCCATGCTGGAGCAAGGAGTGAGAACAACTGAAAAAAGGGAGCCATTCAGAGGCCAGTGAGTCATCACAAGGGACCAGTGCAGGGCCCGTCCCATGGGAAGTGTTTGGAGCATGGGTGGTGGGCGAGATGGGAACACCGGGAGAACACTGGGACTCAGCAAGGACAGCCAAGCTGACCCCAATCAGCACAGGACCACTCAAAGGAGACTGGTCAGGAATGCAGAATTGCACGGGGTACAGTTTGATGAACTCAGGCCCAGATCAGAGATTCCACAGAACACAGATCCACCAGGTCTCTGGAGAGCCGGAAGTACCTATAATATCAACCATTAAACCCTGAGCTACACAAAAACCTTCCTTAGGGAAACAGCAGCAAAGTGGCATTTTAAACAACCACACACTCAAGTACTGGTTCCCACAGGAAATCCCCCATGTTAGAAGCAAAGGACAAAAAATTAGTTCCGGTCCGGGCACACCACCAGCATCTTGGGGCCTGCCCGGTGACCCAAGGCATGGATCTGGGGACCAGACCCTCCTCCCACAACCAGGCACACCAGGCCAGGGCCTCAAGGCCCGGCCGGAGTCCTGAGGCTTGGGGAAGAGGACCGGACCTCTCTCCCACAACCAGGCACACTGCGCCAGCATCTCAGGGCCTGCCTGGGGACCCAAGGCATGGTGAAGGGGACTGGACTTCGCTCCCACAACCAGGCACACTGCACCAGTGCCTCAGGGCTTGCCCAGGGACTGGAGACGTGGAGATGGGAACCAGACACATCCCACAACTAAGCATACCACCAATGCCAAGGAGCATACCAAAAACATCACCTCCATGTGGGTGGCCCACCACAGCCACCACAGTAACCATGGCTGCCGTGGAAGTGGCTAGACGCCACAACCACCATGCAGATGATCCGCCAACCACTGGAGTGCATTCACACAGGGAGAGTCACCAGCAGAGACAAAGAAAAGAAGAGGACGTCTCTTTCCACAAAGCCCATTTCAGAGTGACAGAAGAAGCATCTGCTCTATGATAATATTGGGGGACCTGAACACATCTCTCAGCATTGGACGGATCATCTAGGCAACAAATCAACAGAGTAAGCATGATTCTTTCAGAAGGAGAGAAGAAATCTAGGGTAACTAGAGGGGGGAGGGGGAGGGAATGGGGGAAGGGGAGAGATTAGACAAGGGGCATAAAGAATAATTATGATTTGTAACAATATATACACTAGTAATATTGACTTGATCAACATATCTCTATGTTCAACTCCAAAAATATGTATAATTGGGGCCGAGCCCATGGCACACTCGGGAGAGTGCGGCACTGGGAGCACAGCGACGCTCCCGCCGCAGGTTCGGATCCTATATAGGAATGGCTGGTGCGCTCACTGGCTGAGTGCGGTGTGGGCGACACCACACCAAGGGTTGCGATCCCATTGCCGGTCATGGAAAAGACAAAAAATATATATATATGCATAATTGATTTTGATTCAATAAATAAAATGAATTTTTTTAAAAAAGTAAGCAAAGAGCAAGAAATTAGTTCCAGTGCAGAGTTTAAGTGGTGGGAACAGCAAATAATCCAACACAGAACTGAAAGAAAAAAGAGTACCCACAACCAGAGACAAAGTTTGATATTAACTAGTAAAGGTCTCATTTCACCAAAGAACACCTATAACACCTAGAAGGACCAAAAGTTCCCAGGGCTACCAAGCCAGAAAGGGGTGACAACCAGGAACACCACCAGTGCCATGGGGGCTGCCCAGGATCCTGAAGCATGGAGTCAGAAACCAGACCCCCTCTTACAACCAGGCACATCACCATTGCCACCACCAACTAGGTAAGGAGCATGCCAGAAACATCACCTCCATGTGGGTGGCCCACCACAGCCACCAAAATAACCACAGCTGCTGCAAAAGTGGCTAGATGCCACAACCACCATGCAGATGGTCTGCCAGCCACTGGAATACATTGACACAAGGAGAGTCACCAGCAGAGACCAATGAAAAGAAGCAAATGTCTCTCTCCACAAAGCTCATTCCAGAGTGACAGAAGAAGCATCTACTCTATGATAATATTGGGGAACTGAACACACCTATCAGTATTGAACAAATCATCTAGGCAGTAAATCAACAGAGTAACCATTACTCTTTCAGAGGGAGGGAAGAAATTTAGGGTAATTAGAGGAGGGAGGGAGAGGGAGAGGGGGAGAGATTAGACAAGGGGCATAAAGAGTAAGTTTGATTTGTAACAATATATATGCTAGTAATATTGATTTGGGTGACAGAAGAAGCATCTACTCTATGATAATATTGGGGAACTGAACACACCTATCAGTATTGAACAAATCATCTAGGCAGTAAATCAACAGAGTAACCATTACTCTTTCAGAGGGAGGGAAGAAATTTAGGGTAATTAGAGGAGGGAGGGAGAGGGAGAGGGGGAGAGATTAGACAAGGGGCATAAAGAGTAAGTTTGATTTGTAACAATATATATGCTAGTAATATTGATTTGGTCAACATATGTCAACGTTGAACCCCCAAAATATGTATAATCAATTATGATTCAATAAAAATTTTAAAATAAATAATAAAAAACCAAAAAATAAAAAAGCAAGGAAAAGTACTGTTAAATGTTTTAAAATATAAAGCTTTTTCCTTTCGTGGTCTCTTTTGACTTTTCATGTTTTTTATGTACTATTTAATGTGTTCCTAAGTAATGCTCACATTTTAAATTATTACAATGATTTTACTGTTCATTTTTATATTGTGCAATGCCAGTTTTAAAAATGCAAATATAAGAGCATTTAGCACCTATGTAGAATCGTCATAATTAGACAATTTGTATTTCACAGCTCACGTATACTTACATATTTCATTCTTTTTTTGTTGTTTTTTTGTCCTTTTTGAGACTGGCCGCACCGCCCTCAGCCAGTGAGCGCACCGGTCATCCCTATATAGGATCCGAACCCTTGGCGGGAGCACTGCTGTACTCCCAGCACCGCACTCTCCTGAGTGCGCCATGGGCTCGGCCCTACATAGTTCATTCTTACCACTGGAGTAAGAAGTGGTTATATTCTAGATCTATTTTGAAGGTAGAGCTGACAAAATTTGCTGGTGGATTGGATGAAAAGTGTAAAAGAAAAAGGAGTTCGGTTCCCTGTACTGGCCAGCCACCAAAAAAACAAAATGAAACCAAAAAAAGAAAAAGAGTCAAGAATAACTTTGAGGAAATGCTGCACAAAATTAACTCATCTGTTATTACTTTGCTTCTTGATATGCACATTTTCCCCACCCTGTCGACCTTAAGCTAACTGAAGAGTAAGAAAGGACGGAAAGGAAAAGGAACTATGAGTTGCCCTGTCTTTCCCTTTCCTTCTGTGTCATCATTTTCAGCATGGTGGCTGACTAATACAGGGAAGCAACGTGAGTAAGAAGAGGTATGATAGGGTTCCTTGGTGGTTTATGTCTTTTAGAAGGCCATTGCTACCTTTCTACATTTAAAACAAGTTCTAGTTCAAATGGGAAGCCTGGCCTCTCAGGCTTTCAGCACCTCTGCACTCAGGTGTAGACATCACACCCCGCGGGACACTCGGAGTCTCGCGGAGCTCCCATGCATCGTGAGTCCAGGGAACTCTGCTGTGGGGCATCGAGAATGCACTCTGCAAATGGGGTGGCGAGGAACAGTGGGCATGCATAGTGTGCGTATGTCTTCTGCTCACAGACATGCTCCATTGTCCCATTGGACTTCACTTAACACAAGTTCAAAGACCACATTTTTAAGAATTTCAAGATGGCAACACCCATGAAGCTGATTCTGCCTGTGGTAAATCCTACACTCTCAAATTTCATTTCCTGCCATCTTCCCCTTAGGCCACTCAGCCCCAGCCATGCCGGCCCCTCACTGTTCCTCCAAAATGCCAGGCTAGGTATCTTTGCACACATTGCTATTACAGTGCTGCTTCCCCAGAGAGTTACATGGCTTGTCCCCTTATATCTTCCTATCTGTGCTCAAGTGTCACCTTCTCAGTGACCCATTCCTTGACCACTTTGAACACCCTATGTAAAATTGTATACTCTCTCTCCAACTCAACCCCACCCTGCTTTCGTTTCCTTATTTTTCTCAGGAGTTCTTGTCACCATCTGCTAGTCATATGTCTTACTTATTTGATTATTGTCTATCTCCTCTCACTAGAATGTGAGCTCCACAGTGACAGTGAGTTTTGTCCACTGCTGTATTGTACTGTATTGTATTGTCTGTGCCTACCAAGATCTGGCACATAATAGGTGCTCGACGTGGTGCTGACAACACCAAGCCAAGGGTTAAGATCCCCTTACCGGTCATCTTTTTAAAAATAAAAAAAAATAGGTGCTCGAATAAATAATTATTAAATGAATGAATAACAGCTAAGTGGGAAAAAGGAATCTAATTTTATTTTGTATCGCTTTGATTATCAGCAAGAGTATCATTTCATATATTTATTTGCAATTTGTGTTACTTCTCTCATGATTCTTTTATTCATGTTCATTAACCATTTTTTGTAAGGCTTTAGGTTGACTTTGGCTTTGATAGGTAGAGTTTAGGGTCCTAGTGGGACAGCCAGATATACCCAGACTATTAGTTCGAGAGCCTGTTAGTTGTGAATCACTCTACAAGTAGTGATCAGACATTAGTATTCCTGCATGCTGCTTCAGGCATCTTTGGCCCTTGCAAAGTACAGCTTTGTCCTGCCTGGGTACATCTCAAATAGATATGTTTCTCAGCATTCTGCCAATATTTTTTAAACTTAATATAAATTTTTTTTGTTTCTCAGGCTTACGGTGAGGGCTCTGGTGCTGACTGTAGACACCATGTCCAAAAGTTAAATCTGCTGCAAGGACAGATTTCAGAGATGTCACTCAGGTACAGTTGCTTGGGAGAGGAGCACCGTTATCTCACTCTGTTTTTATCTTGACTGGATAGTGGAAGTATACAATGGAGAAATCCTGTAGATTTCTATGTCTTACTATATGGCAGATTAAATACCCTGAGAAGTTCTCCCACTGAAAATAATTTAAGGGCCAGCCCGGTGGCGCACTCGGTAGAGTGCGGCGCTCCCACCGAGAGTTCGGATCCCATATAGAGACCGGTCCGCTCACTGGTTGAGCACGGTGCAGGCGTGACACTGAGGGTTGCGATCCCGTTGCTGGTCGCGGTGCGGGCGCAACACCGAGGGTTGTGATCCCGTTACCGGTCACGAAAAAAGACAAAAAGGAAAAAAAATAATAATAAAAAAATAATAATAATTTAAAATGCTGGCTATAAGATTTTTTTTTTTTTTTTTTTTAAAGATGACCGGTAAGGGAATCTTAACCCTTGACTTGGTGTTGTCAACACCACACTCAGCCAGCGAGCAAACCGGCCATCCCTATATGGGATCCCAACCCGTGGCCTTGGTGTTATCAGCACCACACACTCCCGAGTGAGCCACGGGCCAGCCCCTGGCTATAAGATTTTAAATGCACTGATGGGATGACAAGAAGGTAAGTAACCCTCAGAGGTAAAAAATGAAGTAAAAGCCAAAGTCCAGAGAGGAAGCAGCTGAGCTGCTGAGGTGATTGAAGCCTGGAGCAGTGGAGCCTTCATTTAGACACCTGGGAGGGGTGCAAGAGACAAAACACAAAACCTCGGGCCTGGTCAGTGTGGGGAGCTCAGTAGGAGACCATATAAAGCTGAGATCCCAAAAGATGTGCCCTCAGTGTACAAATGAACTGAAATATGTCCACTCTGCAACAGGGAGCTTGCCTGTGTTGACCTTGGCACTGGCTGAAAAGAGAGACATGTCTTTCCAAGATTTTGGAAGGACAAGGAAGCTGTCACATGGTTTTTTAGCCTTTTATACACACTGTGAAAAGTCTCAAGTTGAGAATTTATTTTTCAGTTGTCCCAGGAAGCAGAGGTAAGTGCAGCTCCTCTCTGGAGCAACTCATCTTCAACCTAGGCCTCAAAGAATTCCCACAAATAAAGTTCCAAGTAGCATATACTCAAAGTTAAAAAGTATTAAACACTCAAGGAAACATGTCATCATGAGCAAAAGACAGCAGAAACAACAGCCAGAAAAGTTATATCCACAAAGACCTCAGAACTTAAAATATTGCATATTTAATATATTTTAATAAAAGAGGTGGTTGATAATATGAGGAACTTGAAAAAACAGCCAAGTATATTTGAAAAAGAGCCAAAGAGTTTGTAGAAATTAAAAGTATAATCACTGAAATTAAAAATTCAGTAGACAAGTTAAACAGATTAAATGCAGCTGAAGAGAGAAATAGTGAAATGGAAGATAAATCTGAAGAAATTATTCACAGAGCAGCACAAAAAGATTAAAAAGTGGAATATATGAGGGAAAGTTGAGAGACATAGAGAATACAGAGAAGAGTCCCAGCAAGAGAGAATAAAGAGAATGGGGCAAAGGCAATATATTTGAAGAGAACAGAGCACATTCCTGAATCAAAGACTTAACATTCTTAAATTCAGAAAACAGCAAATCCCAAACTGGATAAAACCATCGATTTATTTGCAAACAGCATGATTGTGTTTGGAGGAGATCCTAAAGAATCTATAAAAATTCTACTAGAACTAAATTTAGCAAGATCACTAGGATACAAGGTCAACATACAAAATTAAATTGTATTTCTATATAAATGCAGTGAACAATTGGAAAAATGATTTTAAAAATCAAATACCATTTTTTTGTTTGTTTTTGCAGCTGGCTGGTAAGGCAAAATACCATTTATAATAGCATCAAAAAATGAAATACTTAGGGATAAATATAACAAAAAATGTGTAAGATTTGTTCAGTAAAAACTACAAAACATTGCTTAGAGAAATTAAATATTGGGCCGGCCCGGTGGCGCACTCGGTAGAGTGCGGCGCTCCCGCCGAGGGTTCGGATCCCATATAGAGACCGGTCCGCTCACTGGTTGAGCGCGGTGCGGGCGCGACACCGAGGGTTGCGATCCCGTTGCCGGTTGCGGTACGGGCACGACACCAAGGGTTGCGATCCCATTACCGGTCACGAAAAAAGACAAAAAAGAAAAAAAAAAAAAGAGAGAGAAATTAAATATTTAAATTAAGAGATTTCATGTGTATGGATTGGAAAACTCAATATTGTTAAGATGTCATTCATTCTAAATTGATCTATAGGGCTGGCCAGTTAGCTCAGTTGGTTAGAGCACAGCCTTATAACCCTAAGTTCACAAGTTCAGATCCCCATACAGGCTAGCTGTCCAGAACAAAAAAAAATTGATCTATAGAGTCAACCTAATCCAAAGCAAAATTTCGGTTTTTTAAGAAATTGACAAGCTGATACTAAAATTTATATAGAAATGCAAAGGACCTAGAATTGCCAGAACAATTTTGATGAAGAACAAAGTTGGAAGACTTAAAACAACCTGATTTCAAGATTTACTATAATGCTACAGTACTCAAGATAGTGTGATCTTGGTGAAAGGCTAGACATACATCAGCTGGCAAATGGATAAACAAATTGTGGTATATTCATACAACGGAATATTACTCAGCAACAAAGACAACATGGGGAAGTCTGAAAAACATTGCTAAGTAAAAGAAGCCATACACAAAAAGTACATGCTGTATGGATCAGTAGGGAAAGGAGGAAATTGCCTGCAAAGGCACATAGGGGACCTTTTTGGGGTGATGAAAATTTTCTATATCTTGATTGGGGTGGTAGTTACAAAGGTATAATTTATTAAAACTCATTTAGGTGTACACTTAAATGAGTGTGTTTTAGTATGTATTCACTATACCTCCATAAGTTAATTTTAAAAGTAAAAAAAAAAAAAAAAAAATCTGTGCTTAGACCAACAACATAGTGAAATCGCAGAACCCAGAAGACAAAGAGAAGAGCTGAAAAGCAGCTGGAGAGAAGAGAGATCACCTACAAAGGAACAACAGACATCCAGCCTCTCAGTGGTAGCATTAGAAACAGGAAGACAGACTTGTCTTTGGAGTGCCAAGATGTCCTTTAGTTGATGGAGTTGAGTTCTGGCCAATAGCTGGTAAGACACCGTTCACCTGAACTTTGGAGTATTGAGCACGTGGCAGGGTAGGGTTTTCACATGCAGGATCTCATTTCATCTTCATAATAGCCCTGTGAGGACTACTGACTTCATGTTACAGACGAAGATGCTGAGGTGGAGGCGCCCACATCAGCTAGAATTTGGGGCTCACTAGAGAGAGTTCTCATTTGACCATGTGATGCAATAGCCCCATCTGACATGGATGGACGTGGCTTTGGCTCTGACCTCTGGTCCTCACAGTAAATGTGTTCACTGGCCATCCAGCCCAACTCGAGACTGCAGAGACTCCAGCTCCTCACTGTTTCATGTGAGGAAGAGCCCTGCTGTCCCTGGGAGGCTGGATAGAGTTACTATGATAGATCAAGCTCAGTAAAATTCCTTCTCTCTCATGATGGTTAAGAGGTAAGACTCTTGTATGACCCTATCTAATGGGGACATCCCCATTGCTGATGGGAGGGACTCTGTGCTGCAAGAGTTCAGCCGACATTACTCAGTGTGCTCCAGGCCCTGAGCAGGACATGCCCGCATACAGCCTCATTTATCTTCACAGTCACCTGTGCAGTATTATCCCTGTTTGCGAATAAAGAAACGGCTGCAGTGATGTACCCAATGTCACACAAAGCTAGTCACTAGCAAAGACAGGATGCAGAGTCCCATCTCTCTAGGTTAAGAGTCTGCCCCCTCTTCCCTGTGTCATGTTTCCTATTAATTAGAGGGTTTTAGCAGCCTCAGCCACAGGAAACAAATAGTTCCTCTGCTTAGGCCTTCTCAGCTGCTGGAAGTGACTGAATCACATCAAGACAACAGAGATAGTCCCTAAGATCACCCCAAATCAGTCTTGGATACCCATTGTCAAGTCCTTGCGTCCTGCTGTTTTATCTTCCTTGTCCTTCATATTCCTGGTCATTTTATAAAGGACATATGTATGATCTTTCCCTGAGGTCTCTGGAAGAACCTGCGAGTGCCAGTGAAGGAGAAAACACAGGTCCTGCACAGGCTGAGAATGGGATACTGCAGGTAAGCCAGGAGTGTCTGTCCCAACCCCGCCATCTGGGCCATGGATGGTGTTCCATTTACATATTCATTAGTCATCTGTTCAGCAAATGCTTATTAATGCCGCCACATGATAGCACTTGGCATAAAGCTACAAGGAACAAAAAAATGAAATCATTACAATACTCTGTAAAAAGGACTACTTCTGTCTGCTTGGAGAACTCCTTCTGGACTTAGCTCAAACTTCACCTCCTTGTGCTGCTTCCGCTTGGTTCCCGCAGCACTCTGGGAATGCCTGATAGGGAAAGGGTGCTGGTGTCAAATACCAGGAATCACATCTAGTTATTCTATCCCGAGCTCCTAGTAGTTGCTCGATGTGTGTAAGAGCTTTAGTGACTGAATAGGCAGTGCCACTGGTACATCCAAGGTACCATGGCTCCATGGGGTACTGTGTCCCACCAGGGCCAGAGGGAGGGGAACAACTGTCCAGCTGCAGAGCAGCACCCGCCTCTGCTCATGGGACTGTGCTGGCAGCATCCTCTCACCACTTGGTCTTCATATTTTCATTATAAACAGGGAGATGCTGTTGCGCACGGTGCCCTGACACAGCGCTCTGGCATCTTTGTGTCTGTGCTCCTAATTGAGTTCATTTACACGCTTAATCTACATCCTTCTTATTATAACAGATATACTTTTCATTTATATCATTCTGTATGTTACTATGTGGGTTTTGATGATTTTCTTTTTTTTTTTTTCTTTTTTTGTCCTTTTTGAGACCAGCCGCACCACGCTCAGCCAGTGAGCGCTGTGAGCGCACGGGTCATCCCCATATAGGATCCGAACCCGCGGCGGGAGCGCTGCTGTGCTCCCAGCGCCGCACTCTCCTGAGTGCACCACGGGCTCGGCCCAGTGATTTTCATTTTTAAAAATACTACAGAATATAGTGGATGTACCAATGTTGGTTCCCTTATTATGGGGCTTTAGGCTCTTTCCACACTTTTGCTATTATAAACAATATTTGCTATTATGTCTAACACTGTGACTGGCATCTCTGTGCCTTTTCTCTTTGTTTGGAGTCCCTGGGTCAGAGAGCATAGACATTTGTCAGGGTCTTGACCAGTTGTGCCCTTCTGCTATCCCAAGGCCTGTGTGCACCATCCCCATTGGTGTCATCACCTCCCAGCCAAATGCTTTTCCTGGTGATGAGGTAGACGTGGGTCCTGAGACCCTCAGACATGAAAGTCAGGCTGGGGATTTTCAGTGCAAGCGCCTGCTTTCCAACTCTGAAAATCAACTTCTTTCCCAATCCTGTAGGAAAAATCCCAGCCCTCAGGGAACCGCTGGCTGAAGTATCTGGAAAAGGACTCCCAAGAGCTGGAGCTGGGAGGAGGAGGAGTGTGTTTCAGCAGACAGCCCTCATCCCAAACGGAGGAGCCAGACCCTCCCTTCAGTCAAGGCCTTCCTAGGAAAAGGTGCCACATTCTCCTCTAATCCAGCCCTCGTCCAGGGCCCACATTGACCCCTAGAATGGGGGGACTGATGATCCACTTCTAGCAGTCAGCCAAGTGGGAGAAGCCTGAGCAGCACACACCAACGTGTGGGAAAGCTGAGCCGCCGCCATCACCATAGCCTCTGTGCCCAGTGCCCGCGAGGGTGCCCTTTGTAGTGCTCGATTGTGAGTGTCTCAGACTGTACTGACCTCAGGGAAGAATTTCCTGTAAGGGCAGGGATGACAAAGTGAAGTGTGGCCAGAATAGCCAACGGGTCTGGGAGCGTTTAGCCTAGAGAAGCCAAGACCTCAGACTTTATAGGTTTCTCTTCCGCTCCAGCTTTCCTCTGCGTGTCAGTGAGTTTCTGGCGAGACTGCCTTAGGCTAAAGATCTAGGGTGGCTCTGATGGGGCAGGTGCTTTCGAAAGTAAGACTCCACTTTCAAACAAGAACTTGCTGACAACAATGGGGCAGAGAAATGTGCTGCTGGGCTGTTGTGGGGCAGCCTGTGTCTGGAGGTGGGGCGCAGCTCAGCAGCCTCCCAGGAAGCTGCAGGGGTGAGAAGGCTCCTGCTGGCTTGGTGTAGGCCCAGCTGACCACCGTGTCAGGCCCTGGAGGAGCTGGACTGTTAACAGCGCTTTCCCTCTGCCAGGAGATGGAGCCATGGCACAGTCCACCCAGCACATGGCCTTGTTGTCCAGGACTCAGGCCACTCTGAGGACACCCTGCAACCCCAGAAGGTTGGTGATGGGAGGCACTTGCTGGTCGCATTGACTGCTGAGCCTATGTAGTATTTTTTTATTGTCTTGTTTTGTCATCAGTTGATGAAGTATGAGATTTATACCCCCAAAAAGCCCAACTTCCCATCTGGGTTCCTAGTCTTTTCTGTCTTCAGCCCAACCCTTTCTCTTTGTACCCCGATTCCCTCACTGCTCTTCCTCTCCCGTGAAGTTAACCATGACCAAGAGGGCATCTTGATGCCTTGGAGTTAACTAAGGTTGGCCAGCAGGGACTTTCTGAGTCAGGACCACCGTCTTCATTCTGCACAGAGTGGAGGATCTTTGTCTGACTGTTAGTAACAGGGCCTGCCCTGGGCTTCTCAGGAAATGCTTCCCTCACACCTTCCCATCCCAGCTGCGGACTCTTGCACCTGAGGTGCTCCTCATCTAGGATGTGTTCTTGTTCTCGATGCTTTGCACCTAGCAGGCCCCACCACACATTCCACGCTGCATAACGCAGGTTTTGCTTTACGTTGTCATGGGAGCATGGGCATGAGGCAGAGGAACGCTGCAGGCAGGAGCCTGCTGGGCACATCACAGCCCCCACCCGTCAGCCATCGTTTGCCTTGGCCAGCTTCAGACTGTACGCAGAGCACTAGCTCAAAGCCAAAAGGCAGCATCCAAAATTGGTGTCACCACCACCTAGTTTTGTGACACCAGGTAAATATGTGACCCTGAATTTCCAAATTATGGAATGATGATAACAGTTATTAAGTCTTTACCATGTACCAATCCATGGGCTAAACATTTTAACTGCATCATCCTGTTTAATGCTCACAAGTCTGTTGTTTTGTTTTAGAGGTGAGGAATTAGGGCTTACAGAGGTTTAGTGAGGTCACAGCAAGTTCAGTGGCAAAGCCAATGTCAAGCATCTGGACCACAGTGCCTCTTCCATGTTTCCTGGGTGGCCGTGTTGCAGGGACCCACTCTCATTGCTTTCAAATCCCTTTCTAAGTGGCAAAACCCAATTTTCAGTGCATCTTTGGTTCCTGAGGAGGGAGAAGCCAGGCCTAACACTTGTTGTCACACCCCATGGGGAGCTCGGTGCAGCCAATTCCACAGCTCCAGAACCTCAACCCGGTTCTAGAGACTCCCATCCGACTGGGAATGAGAAGGGAGAATGGATTCTGCCTCCATCCCTTTCTAGATGATCTCTAGGGCCCTTCCTGCCTGCGGTTCTAGAGACTCCCATCCGACTGGGAATGAGAAGGGAGAATGGATTCTGCCTCCATCCCTTTCTAGATGATCTCTAGGGCCCTTCCTGCCTGCGGTTCTAGAGACTCCCATCCGACTGGGAATGAGAAGGGAGAATGGATTCTGCCTCCATCCCTTTCTAGATGATCTCTAGGGCCCTTCCTGCCTGCGGTTCTAGAGACTCCCATCCGACTGGGAATGAGAAGGGAGAATGGATTCTGCCTCCATCCCTTTCTAGATGATCTCTAGGGCCCTTCCTGCCTGCGGTTCTAGAGACTCCCATCCGACTGGGAATGAGAAGGGAGAATGGATTCTGCCTCCATCCCTTTCTAGATGATCTCTAGGGCCCTTCCTGCCTGCATCTCTTCAGGCACATGACTCTCAGGTCCCCAGGAGGTAGATCACCTGATGACATGAGAATGTCTTCTCTTTTGGAAAGCATGGTCGTGGATTAGTGGGGCATTTTGGGGTGAGGGATGGAAGGCACTTATTCACTTTGCTAATCCTCAAAATTAAAGTACATCCCTAGCCGGCAACGAGGACATGAGCGTAAAGCACCAAGTAGAGGCCAAGATGTGACAGGCCACCTTCTTGGATTCTCTTTCAGGGCTATGCTGGCCTGACCAGGAAGGTGAAACAAGGCAGCAGCCACTGCCTCCAGGAGAACTCTGCAGACTGCAACACCGGGGAGCTTAGTGTTCCTTGGAGGAAACTACCAAGTCCTGCTCGGCAGGTTAAGGCCACATATTCTAAATGGGCACGATTTCTCTCATCACCTGGAAACAGCTCACATGTGGACACAGAGTTACCCAGACCACTGCAGAGGAGCCCCACACCAGCCAGTCCAGCACAGGCTCAGCAAGGGACCCCCCAGGGCCCAGACCCCAAGGGTAGGCCACCCCAGCAGGCCCACTGCCACCGTTCAGCTTCCTCAGGCCACACACACACTCCCACACTCAGGTCCGAGAGGTCCTGCAGCAAGACCCCCAAGCAGTCACGGGGCACAGGGCCTCCTTGGGCAGAGGGTGGGTCTTTGGTCCAAGTGGCACAGAAGCCCCCACCCAGGCAATGTCTATTTAATTATTTCACCCTCCACTATCTGACCCTAGTCATTTTGAACTACATGAGGAGGCAGAGACAGAGAAGAGGTCGATATAAGAGGAGGGAGGATCAGAGACTTGCCTTCTCTGTGGGACAGAAGGACACATGGGGAAGGTGCCAGCCAGAGTTAGCAACAGTCTGAGCACTAAGGTCTGTCGTCCCTTCTTTTTCTTTCCCCAAGACGGCTGGATAGTTCCTCTAGCATGTGCCAGGGTAGTTTAGGTCATAAAGCCCTTGCTGACACAGCTATGGTTGCCTCAGAATTCACTGGACCCAGAGTTGGAAGGCCTTGGTTCAAATCCCAGTTCTGACATTTACAAGCCTTGGACAAGTCACATCACCTCAGTGAGCCTGAGGTTTTCTATATCTGAAGAATCAGATGGCAATACCTACTTTAGAAGGAAGTTGTGAAGATTAAAACAGATAAGGCACGTGGAAATGACCAGCACAATAGGTAGTAGATAAAATACATTTAATAAATTCTAATTAAATAAGTTATCTGATCCTCCAGAGGTTCCCATTCTGAGAGTCATGCCCTATAGCTCCTGCAGATGTCAGCCAAGGGGCAAGTAGAAACCACAGCGGAGTCACACGGCAGTTTGACGAATGTGGTGTGCAGAGATGTGTGCAGGAATGGCGAAGTGTCAGGGGACAGAGGCACAGGGATGGACAGATCCTGAGCTGGCTCAGTAGAGAAGACCACATGAGGAAAGAGGGATCCATACATCACCACCAACATCTTCTTAACACCAGACCTTCTTAAAGTACAAGGGAGAATGGATTCTGCCTCCATCCCTTTCTAGATGATCTCTAGGGCCCTTCCTGCCTGCATCTCTTCAGGCACATGACTCTCAGGTCCCCAGGAGGTAGATCACCTGATGACATGAGAATGTCTTCTCTTTTGGAAAGCATGGTCGTGGATTAGTGGGGCATTTTGGGGTGAGGGATGGAAGGCACTTATTCACTTTGCTAATCCTCAAAATTAAAGTACATCCCTAGCCGGCAACGAGGACATGAGCGTAAAGCACCAAGTAGAGGCCAAGATGTGACAGGCCACCTTCTTGGATTCTCTTTCAGGGCTATGCTGGCCTGACCAGGAAGGTGAAACAAGGCAGCAGCCACTGCCTCCAGGAGAACTCTGCAGACTGCAACACCGGGGAGCTTAGTGTTCCTTGGAGGAAACTACCAAGTCCTGCTCGGCAGGTTAAGGCCACATATTCTAAATGGGCACGATTTCTCTCATCACCTGGAAACAGCTCACATGTGGACACAGAGTTACCCAGACCACTGCAGAGGAGCCCCACACCAGCCAGTCCAGCACAGGCTCAGCAAGGGACCCCCCAGGGCCCAGACCCCAAGGGTAGGCCACCCCAGCAGGCCCACTGCCACCGTTCAGCTTCCTCAGGCCACACACACACTCCCACACTCAGGTCCGAGAGGTCCTGCAGCAAGACCCCCAAGCAGTCACGGGGCACAGGGCCTCCTTGGGCAGAGGGTGGGTCTTTGGTCCAAGTGGCACAGAAGCCCCCACCCATGCAACTATGTCATCTCTTTACAGCTGGGGAGGACTTTGATGATGATCTGTGAACTGAGACTAGTGTCAGATAGACTTGTCCCATAAGCACCGCCCACCAGTCTTCTGCTGCCAGAAACAGGGTTCCGCTAAGAGGTTTTTTTTGTCCTTTTTGAGACCGGCCGCGCCTCGCTCAGGCGGTGAGCTCACCGGTCATCCCTATATAGGATCCGAACCCGCGGCGGGAGCGCCACACCCTCCCGAGTGCGCCACGGGCTCGACCCCGCTAAGAGGCTTTTAAATGAGTGTGATTTGTGAGAACAAGCAAGAGCCAACAGTAAACATTACTGTTAAACAGATCCTTTCTCTCCTTGCAACCCACAGTAAGGACATTGTTGATTAAAGTGCTTATACCATTTAATTATAGGTCGTTTACAAATATGATAATTGGATGGCTACAAAGGGTTTTAATTTTAAAAGCAGTTGACACATTTGGAAGTGAGAGAACGCTGGTGATTATGAAACAAGGAGGCAGTATTCAGTGAAAACCAACATCAGACATTTCCCATTACAAGCCCTCTCCATCCCCTGGAGCGTTCCCACAGTGCAGGCTGTCCCAGCCTCCTCTGCTGGCTCCCTGACAAAAGGCTGGCCGAACTCTATTGAAAAATCAGAATATCAGTTTTCTAGCAGAAAATAAACAATTTCAGCGTACTAGTAGCCATTTTTTTTAAAAAGGAAAAGCAGATGGCCATTAGGTGGGGTGAGAGCACAAGCGTGCTGCAGCCTCCTCCCCAGCAGAGGCAGCAGGGCTCGCTCCGGACCAGGAAGAGGGTTTTGTTTCTCAGACATCAACACACTTGGAACCCGCCCCCACCCCATCACCTGTTCTACTGCCCTAAATGGCTTCATGCATCCCCGCCCCCCAGATTCTGGAAGAAGAAAGCAGAGAAACAGGCTCTTACAAAGGTCCTGCTGTTCTACACTAGTTCAACGCAATTATGAGATGAAAAAGGGACGTGGAATAGATGAGCAAAAATGGTCACAAGGACGGTGGGTGCTTTGAGTACTGGATGGTGTCCAGAGCAGCCCCGATGTCATAGTTCTTGGTCTGCAGGAGCCTGGTGAGCCAGCCGCCTTCGTCAGAGAAACCCATGGACAGCATCTGGGAGAGGGACTCAATCAGCCGGGGGTCAGCCTCTGCCAAAACAGTAATGGACACCATGAGGCGAGCTGCTGAGCCCATGTGACCCAGGACAGCAGCAGCCTGCGCTCAGCCAGCAAGTACCCAGGGCCTGCAGGGTCACCCCTTCCATGGGACTTCCTGAACCCTCACAGGGACGCTCCAAGGGACGGTGGGCAAGTTTTTTCTGTAAAGGGCCACAGTAAACATTTGAGGTTTGCTTTGCAGAGTAGTTTCTCGGTCTCAATTACTCAACTCTGCCCTTTAGCATGAAAGCAGCCGGATGATACGTAACAAATGAGCATGGTTGTGTTCCAATAAAACTTGATTTATGACACTAAAATCTGAGTTTCATCTCACTGTCATGTCTTTTCTCTCAAAAATGTAAAGATCATTCCTGGCCCCTAGGCCATAGTTTGCTACCCACTGCTCTAAAGCAGAGAAGCTATATACTGGAGCCCAAGATCCAAAGTGAACCCACAGACAAGTTAGTCACTTGGATATTGTTTTATACATCATTGCCATATGACAATAATGAACCGGAGCTGGGTACCAGCTGCCTCTTTTTTTTTTTTTTTTTTGTCCTTTTTGAGACCGGCCGCACCACGCTCAGCCAGTGAGCGCTGTGAGCGCACCGGTCATCTCTATATAGGATCCGAACCCGCGGCGGGAGCGCTGCTGCACTCCCAGCGCCGCACTCTCCCGAGTGCGCCACGGGCTCGGCCCAAGCTGCCTCTTTTATTAAGGGTGTGCTGTCTGGGTTGCCAGAGTCCCCAGCCCAACCTACTGCCTGCCCCCCACCCCCCACCTCCATGTTGGCTTTCTGGCTCCTACAGGGAACCTGCCTGTGACTCCTGCTTTAAGTCAGCACTCTCTGTGAGTCCACTTTCAGTAGTATGTGGCAGTGCCACAGCCAGTGCTGCCTTCTACATCACATCTTCCTTCTGCATTCTTGGTTTGGGTGTTAAGTTCCAGAAATTACTAAAACTAGCTGAGCTTACTATTGTTCAGTAAGAGCAATAACATAAAAAGACAAAACCAACTCCTAATTTTCTCTCATGTCAGTACACAAGCCTCACCGTAGAGAACATCCATCCTGTTTGTGTTGCTAAAATTGGAAGGTGACAGGATGCCCTGAAAGAGAAAGGCTGGCATACAAAACCTCTTGCAATCACTTACCTGGTGGGAGATGGGGGTACAAGGCAGCTTCCTTCAGTCCTGTGGGTCCTTCCTGGGAAGGGTCCAGAGAGCTTGGCCCTTCAGACTCTGGCATCTGTAGAGACTGGAGTTCACCTGTAGACGGGTCCACTTCTTTTGAAGATAAGTGAGTCCAGTCATCATCTCCTCCTGAACAGTTATCAGACTCCATCTGTTCCTGGAACAAAATTCACTGTGAGCACACAAGGGACATGAGCCACAGGCCAAGCCTGACCACAGCACTGGATCCTGGAAAAGAGCTGGGGTGTGTGTGAGTATGCGAGTGTCGGTGAGCATGCAGGGCTGGCAAGGAGCTACAGGTGAGAGTGAACTACTCGCAAAGATCAAGTATATTTTTCTTAACAAAGTTTCAGCAGAAGGTTTACAGAACAACTTAATGCAGACACCCCTCTGCAGCAGGAACAGGGCCCTTGGGCTGCATAAGTGCTGGGGCAGAGCACGCGGCTGGCCACGGGGGCACTTTGTGGGAGGGGAACAGGCTTGCCTCAGGCTGCCCTGCGGACTCCAGGGCTATCTTCTTCATTTGCTCTGCCAGAGACTGCTCCGTGCCCTCCATGTTCCCATCCAGTTTGATGGGCTCAGAAGAGCAGCTGCTGGGCTGAGAGCTGCACTTCTCTTCTGTGCTAGAGCTCTCTGGAGACATGGGTGTCAGGCGGCTTCTTTTCCCTCCATGTTCCACGTCAATATCAACTTCAATGCCTAGAGGCCAAGGAGGAAACAGAAAGCTGTAAAGTCTTCCAGAGGGCATTCCTGCAGTTAGGATCTAGGCATGTGGGGACTGCGGGCTCACGAAACTTTTTCATTCAGTCCCCTGAGTCTACGGACACAGGCATTGGGCTCTGCTACAGAACTCAACCCCAAAGTCACACAGCCATATGGAGCCTACCAACATGCAAACCCATGAGTCAGGAGCAAATCGATGGTCCCCTGGGATCTTCAGGGTCCCAAAGCTGAACTGCTTCTCCCAGTATCCTGGCCCCAAATCTCCTTGGCTTCTAGAAACACTCTCCTGACATGTCAATCATACTGGACTTTTCCCATCCTCCAATTTAGTGAAACATTAACCTCAGCTAACATCCAAGGTCAGCTTCTGAGCCAGAAAGTCCACACAGAGAGACCTTGTTTTTCTGAACCACGCAGGAC